AAGTAGAGACACTACATACTGATATCCACCTGAACATCAGCAGGGGAGGACTCTTTAAAGTAGAGGCACTACATACTGATATACACCTGAACATCAGCAGGAGAGGACTCTTTAAAGTAGAGACACTACATACTGATATCCACCTGAACATCAGCAGGAGAGGACTCTTTAAAGTAGAGACACTACATACTGATATACACCTGAACATCAGCAGGAGATGACTCTTTAAAGTAGACACAGACACTACATCCTGATATACACCTGAACATCAGCAGGAGAGGACTCTTTAAAGTAGAGACACTACATACTGATATACACCTGAACATCAGCAGGAGAGGACTCTTTAAAGTAGAGACACTACATACTGATATACACCTGAACATCAGCAGGAGAGGACTCTTTAAAGTAGAGACACTACTTACTGATATCCACCTGAACATCAGCAGGAGAGGACTCTTTAAAGTAGAGGCACTACATACTGATATACACCTGAACATCAGCAGGAGAGGACTCTTTAAAGTAGAGACACTACACTGATATACACCTGAACATCAGCAGGAGAGGACTCTTTAAAGTAGAGACACTACATACATACTGATATACACCTGAACATCAGCAGGAGAGGACTCTTTAAAGTAGAGACACTACATACTGATATACACCTGAACATCAGCAGGAGAGGACTCTTTAAAGTAGAGACACTACATACTGATATACACCTGAACATCAGCAGGAGAGGACTCTTTAAAGTAGAGACACTACATACGTACTGATATACACCTGAACATCAGCAGGAGAGGACTCTTTAAAGTAGAGACACTACATACTGATATACACCTGAACATCAGCAGGAGAGGACTCTTTAAAGTAGAGACACTACATACTGATATCCACCTGAACATCAGCAGGAGAGGACTCTTTAAAGTAGAGACACTACATACTGATATACACCTGAACATCAGCAGGAGATGACTCTTTAAAGTAGACACAGACACTACATCCTGATATACACCTGAACATCAGCAGGAGAGGACTCTTTAAAGTAGAGACACTACATACTGATATACACCTGAACATCAGCAGGAGAGGACTCTTTAAAGTAGAGACACTACATACTGATATCCACCTGAACATCAGCAGGAGAGGACTCTTTAAAGTAGAGACACTACATACTGATATACACCTGAACATCAGCAGGAGATGACTCTTTAAAGTAGACACAGACACTACATACTGATATCCACCTGAACATCAGCAGGAGAGGACTCTTTAAAGTAGAGACACTACATACTGATATACACCTGAACATCAGCAGGAGAGGACTCTTTAAAGTAGAGACACTACATACTGATATCCACCTGAACATCAGCAGGAGAGGACTCTTTAAAGTAGAGACACTACATACTGATATACACCTGAACATCAGCAGGAGAGGACTCTTTAAAGTAGAGACACTACATACTGATATACACCTGAACATCAGCAGGAGAGGACTCTTTAAAGTAGAGGCACTACATACTGATATACACCTGAACATCAGCAGGAGAGGACTCTTTAAAGTAGAGACACTACATACTGATATACACCTGAACATCAGCAGGAGAGGACTCTTTAAAGTAGACACAGACACTACATACTGATATACACCTGAACATCAGCAGGAGAGGACTCTTTAAAGTAGAGACACTACATACTGATATACACCTGAACATCAGCAGGAGAGGACTCTTTAAAGTAGAGACACTACATACTGATATCCACCTGAACATCAGCAGGAGAGGACTCTTTAAAGTAGAGACACTACATACTGATATCCACCTGAACATCAGCAGGAGAGGACTCTTTAAAGTAGAGACACTACATACTGATATACACCTGAACATCAGCAGGAGAGGACTCTTTAAAGTAGAGATACTACATACTGATATACACATGGACATCAGCAGGAGAGGACTCTTTAAAGTAGAGACACTACATACTGATATACACCTGAACATCAGCAGGAGAGGACTCTTTAAAGTAGAGACACTACATACTGATATATACCTGGACATCAGAAGAGGACTCTTTAAAGTAGAGACACTACATACTGATATACACCTGATCATCAGCAGGAGAGGACTCTTTAAAGTAGAGACACTACATACTGATATACACCTGAACATCAGCAGGAGAGGACTCTTTAAAGTAGAGACACTACATACTGATATACATCAGCAGGAGAGGACTCTTTAAAGTAGAGACACTACATACTGATATACACCTGAACATCAGCAGGAGAGGACTCTTTAAAGTAGAGACACTACATACTGATATACACCTGAACATCAGCAGGAGAGGACTCTTTAAAGTAGAGGCACTACATACTGATATACACCTGAACATCAGCAGGAGAGGACTCTTTAAAGTAGACACAGACACTACATACTGATATACACCTGAACATCAGCAGGAGAGGACTCTTTAAAGTAGAGACACTACATACTGATATACACCTGAACATCAGCAGGAGAGGACTCTTTAAAGTAGAGACACTACATACTGATATACACCTGAACATCAGCAGGAGAGGACTCTTTAAAGTAGAGACACTACATACTGATATCCACCTGAACATCAGCAGGAGAGGACTCTTTAAAGTAGAGACACTACATACTGATATACACCTGAACATCAGCAGGAGAGGACTCTTTAAAGTAGAGATACTACATACTGATATACACATGGACATCAGCAGGAGAGGACTCTTTAAAGTAGAGACACTACATACTGATATACACCTGAACATCAGCAGGAGAGGACTCTTTAAAGTAGAGACACTACATACTGATATATACCTGGACATCAGAAGAGGACTCTTTAAAGTAGAGACACTACATACTGATATACACCTGATCATCAGCAGGAGAGGACTCTTTAAAGTAGAGACACTACATACTGATATACACCTGAACATCAGCAGGAGAGGACTCTTTAAAGTAGAGACACTACATACTGATATACATCAGCAGGAGAGGACTCTTTAAAGTAGAGACACTACATACTGATATACACCTGAACATCAGCAGGAGAGGACTCTTTAAAGTAGAGGCACTACATACTGATATACACCTGAACATCAGCAGGAGAGGACTCTTTAAAGTAGAGACACTACATACTGATATACACCTGAACATCAGCAGGAGAGGACTCTTTAAAGTAGAGACACTACATACTGATATACACCTGAACATCAGCAGGAGAGGACTCTTTAAAGTAGAGACACTACATACTGATATACACCTGAAACTGAGCAGAATGTATTTAAGAGCTAGCACGTTGCTTCGTAACCTCAACTGTATTTATCAGGGCAGAACCAAAACTCCATTGCTTGTATTAGTCAAACATTAGTGGGTTTCTATGCTCAGATGTATGCTGCTGACCCTCTGTGGCATAGAGGAAATGAAATCAGTCAAGTATTAACAAGCCTTTAACGAGAGTGAACAATAGTACGTCCTGTGCCAGGCTCAATCTTATACAACTAAAAGTTGTCCACCGTATCTATTACACCAATTCTAAACTCTCCAAAATATATCCTAATGTCACGGATACCTGTAACAGATGCACACGTCACCAGCAAACATGACTCATATGTTTTGGTCTTGTCCTCGCCTACAAGGATACTGGACAAGCATTTTCAAACACCTTGCTGAGGCCTTTGACGTGGTATTGACACCATGTGCAGAAACTGCCATTTTCGGAGTACTACCTGGCCACAGAGTGATGAGGAGGAAAACTAAAGACAGAATAGCCTTTGCAACTATTTTAGCACGTAGAAGAATACTCCTCGAATAGAAATCTTCGATACCACCTAAAGCATCTCTATGGCTTAAAGATCTTATGATGTACCTGAACTTAGAGAAGATCAAATATAGCCTGAGGGGCTCCTCAAAACTATTTGATTCTGTCTGGGGCTCCATGATAGCCTACATAGCTGAACTTAAGACACTACATTAAGAAGAAAGGGGGGAACTACGAATGTATGTGTTTGTTTTGTTTTTGTCTCCTTTTGTATTTTTATTTTTGTTGTTGTTGGTTTGTTTTGTTTATTTTGTTTTTTGCTTTGTCTCTGTCTTTATATACATGTATGTGTGCACGTGTATGTATGTGTACGTGTATGTGTATATGTGTGTAGGTATGTACATATATATATGTGTATGTGCATATGTGGGTATACATATGTAAGTATATGGGTACATGTATTATGGCTATTATTCTTTATTTCCGTATCTATTACTTAAAGGTGGGGTAGGTCATTTTGGAGAAACCAGCTCGAGTGCGCTAGAATTTGAAAACACACAGCCGGAAAAAATCTGCCACTTCCTTACAGAGCCCCTCCTCCAACACACACGAACGCGCACATGACCAATGAGGGCATGAGATAAGTTTGTGCACAGATGGAAGGCTGACAGGCAGGTAGGCCATCCAGTTATTTTAGCCGGGCCGGCTAAAATGATTGGTCGTGCTTTTTACAGTATTACGGCTTCCACAGATGACATTTTTTTATGGATTTTTTGTCAAAGCACTTCAGATATTCATTGCTATCGGGATGTTAAGAGCATTCCATGGAATATAACAGAAAGTGTATCTCGAGCCGGTTTCTCAAACTTACCTACCCCACCTTTAATCTTCTTTTAATATTATCTTTTACATTACTGTATTTTTACCTATATATGTATCTATTTACTTAGTTATTTACTTTACGAGCTCCTGTAGGATCGGGAGGGGAGGGGGGGGGAAAGGGGAAGAAAACAAATATATTGACTGTATAAATGTAAACTCACTGTGCCTGATTCAATAAAAACAAATTACAAAAGTATTAACAACCCTTAAGGATGGAGAAAGAACAGAAGAATGTTATGGACAGAAAATGAAAAGCCTCTCCTTCACCTTTTTGGCTATCATTGCTCTAATTTGCATTATAAAATGAGATAAATTAAGGAGAGCATTACAGTGGAAAAAAAACGTTTATTAATCATCATCTAAAGCTTTGTACAATACAAAAATGAACAAAATATTACTGTCACAAATGTTCACAACATAAAAATAGTACAAACATAGAAAATCTATAAATATTTTCAATTCATTTTCATTGCTTCGAAGAACCTCACAAAAGAAGAAATGCATTTTCCATGACAAGAGCTACTGTACTTCCTGTAGAGAAGCGGCTGCATAAAAACATGTCCAGGAAAAAGTTAAGGACTTTTTGCTTGACAAAATAAACAGCCACAATTATGAAAGGACTACATCAAGCTCTTGGGAGGTTCATATGCTCCATTACTACTGAATAACAAGGACACATCTTAAAGTGTTCAAAGGAAAAATGTGTTGTTTATGTATTATGAAATTACAAAACAGACCTAGTGGCTAATCCCTTACACTAAAACAGTCGTTCATTTGGTATTACGTTTCAGTTGCAGAGTATCAGTGATGGTAAAAAATAGTAAGACATTTAATAGTGTACCTAATATTGCAATCTGGTGCTTCTTGTATTTCAAATGACGACCACTTCATGACTGGTGAGGTTTTCCCACTGGTATGGGGACTGTGGTTAGAACTTGGTTCTGGAAAACAAATCTCTGGATGCGTTCAAAGACCCAGAGGAAGATGAGGAGCACACTGACGTACTGAATCCAGGCAAACTTGATGGTTTCCCAGAAGCCTGGTCGATAGGTGGCGTTAGGTTAAGGAAGAAACTCTGAGGAAGACTTCACAGGCCAAACATGCTTTATCATTTTAACCACTGTTTTTATGAAAAACAACAACATTGAGGAGAGTGAGGAACAACTCCAAATGTATGAATAGTTTGCAGATGATGTGGGTCTGTTCACCTAAACAAAACAAGCATTCGCCATACAGATTGCATGCAGTGTTTCCCGTAAGTATACACCTCTAGATACCAGTGCAAGAGGTGGGAGTAAGTTCATTTTTGGAGATAAAATAATAAAAAAGACAGTGTCCTGGTTACTCGTGGTGCTTCACAGGAAAAAAATGGTGTTCTATCAAAAGATACATTTATTATCTGGTAGAAAAAGCTAATTAAAGAAATGATTGATGTTTCTGCAGTGCAGCTGGAGTTTCTCTCACTTTTTTTCACGAATAGCTGGGGCAATGTGTGGTAAAATATCAATATTACCCTCTCTACAGATACATTTCCTGTTACTGCAAAATATGATGTAATCTAAATATTGTGTTTAAAAATGACATGTGAAGAATATAGCTAAAAAACTAATTTAGCCATAAGGCTGCTCTAGACCTGATAGTGAATGGCAACATAATGAAACAAACTTGTAATAATAATCAATATGTTGTCATATGATATGTTCTAATAATGGGCAAATATTGTATATTAACATCCTTAAAAGGTCCTAGTTAGAGTTTACAACATTATAATGTGGTATAAACTATATACTAATGTCTATAATACAAAGCTTTGTTGAGTACTTGATTCTGATTGGTCAATTACTGCTGTGGTCTGTTATACCTGTATAGCAAACTGCTGCTATGTATGTATGCAGTTTGGATCACACACTCTAGAGCCGGCGATACAATACTTTTGAAGTTAACAAAACCAAAATCAATATTTACTCTCAAATTATTTGCAGAAGAGTTTTGAATCACTCTGAAGGGGTTCATTTTGTAATATTATTCGATCAGTTTTCATTATCCCTTACATGTTGCGTATATTAAGTGTTCAATTGGAGGATTAAAGTAAGTGTGGAAAGCATAGAGGTATTTAAGAAAGAACACTTGCATTTAGTAAAGGATATCTGATGACCTCCACAGGGTATCGGATCTCTGCATTAATCTGAAAGGGAGAGCCAGCAGCTCGTCCCACCGTCCACACCGGCATGGGACAGGACAGCACTGTGGTCACTGTGTGGGACAAAAAGGGACAAAAAGACACAGAGAAAAGTCAGAGTTGTCTAATTTTACAATATCCACATTTGACATGAATTCACATCTAATGTAATGTTCGGCTTGAGCTACAGCCTGGGTTGATCCCGGGTTTTATCAGTAATAAAAGCAGAGTCAACTTACAGTTTCTATTCTGGTAGCTCCTGATTATGTTGTGAAGATCATACGCACTGGCGAAGGGGCTGGAGCCATCGATCACTGACACCTAGGTATCAAGAGAGAGAAAAAAGAACCTCAACAAATGAAGACCACATGTCCCTCAGCATGTGGGAGATCCACACGGAAGTATTTTGCAATAAGATGTTTTTACGAAGGCTAAAATGAATCTGTTAAAGGGTGCAGGTTGCATATGGGTGATATGCAAGTTGACTACATGAAACATGATTTCTTTCAAATTGGCATCACAAACAGGATCAGAAGCCCAGTTCCTGTTAACCCTCGGATGAACAGACATCACAGGATAAATGAGATACTATTAACATAATTAAAGACATGATGATTCTCAGGTGAGTACTTCAGTTATAAGGAGCGTAAACAGTGTATCTTTCCAAGAACAACACATGTAACCATAGTTACTGTACACAACAAAGGTGATGATGGCTGTAGCCTCAATATGGATAGACAACCTGAACATATAAAATGCAAGCCGAAAATGATACTCCAATGTCACTGACAAAAACTACACCTAACTGTCTTGAGTTTTGTTGACTGAAATGGACAACAAAAATGATGACAAAGTAGTTGCCAAAAAAAACCCGCAGTCTGCACTACCTCACATGTATTCATTACATTACACTGCGTTACATTTCTTATGGTTGACACTTTTATCCAAAGTGACTTACAATAAGTGCAAAAACCATAAAGATCCAAACTCTGAACAAGGAAAGTGCAGATATATTCACTTCAAGCAAGTCATACCGTTGTGCTGCTGAATTAGTTACATGGCCTAAATTAAAACGTGGCTTTTTTATTTGTATTTTATTTTAGAATTGAATTGCCAAGGTACAGTGGAAACAGAGGAACTCCCACATGGAGAGGATATTCTGAAACATGGGACCTGTGAAGTCTCAGTGTGATCAAATATTTCAGCATGTCATTCACTATCTGCTCTACTTGAGTATTGATTTGAGCAGTAAAACTGAAAAACAAGAGAAAGACAAGCAGTGGACAGAGGGAGAGAGACAGTGAGTCAGTGTGCTCTCACATTGTAAACGTTGTAGACCCCCCGGTGAGGCAGGGGGGTCCTCTGCTGCAGCTTCAGGTCCCCGCTGATGAACAGCTTAGCTCCGGGGACAGAGGAGGAGTGCTGCACATACGCCAGGCTCTGCATCACCACTGTGGACATCCTCTGGAAAAACACAAGGAAACAACATTGTTTACTTTAGTGGGAACATTGTGGGGCAGAGTGGCGCAGTGGGCTGTGCGTTTGATCATCAGATCAAGGGGGCGTTGGGGAACTCCAGTTCGAAACTGCGTCAGGCCATTGTGTCCTTGGGCAAGACACTTCACCCAAATGTGCTCCTGTGGGTATTGTCCACAGTACATGTATGATATTAATGTGTACTTGTAAAGCGCCTTGATGACTTCGAGGTGTGAAGATGGGCGGTGTGGCGCAGTGGGCTGTGCATTGATCATCAGATCAAGGGGGCGAAACCCGCCGCCGCTGCGTCTGTAAAGCCGTTGTGTCCTTGGGCAAGACACTTCACCTGAATTTGCACCTGTGGATATTGTCCACATTACATGTATGTATGTGTAATGTGTATCTGTAAAGCACTTTGAGTCATTGAAAAGCGCTATAATAAATTATTATTATTATTAACATTGACTGAGGCTGGACTGAACACACCTGCTGTTCTACTGCAGATGGCAGGCTGTATGTTAAAACATCAGGAATGTGTCTGAGCTTTGACTTATTACTTCCTGCCATCAACAGCTGTCTCATGGTGTTTCTCAGGCACAGGCAAGTGAAGCATCTACATCTCATGTACTGCAGTGGACAGAGGTGAGAGAAGTGCTCAGATCTGGTTCTTTAAAGGTCCCATGTCATGCTTTTCTGGTTATTACCCGTCCCCCTTATGTAGCTTTTTATGCATGTAAACGGTCTGCAGAGTCACAAACCCTCAAAGTACACCCTGTAGCGAGTAAAACTCTAACACAGAAAAGACCTGTCTATGCTGCCCCAAAACGCCTCGTTGGAGATTTCTCTTTTTCCATTTTTTTCTTCCTGAATATAGTGACGTAACCATGCCCAGGTCCAAATGGACCAATCCGCGGAGCTCCTCACACACACACACTCACTCAGCCTTATCTTTTCTCAGCCGCGGCTCCGCTGATCTCCACTCACAGTTCTCAGACCTAAACAGCTTGTTGGAGCTCCTGCCCCCCCCCCCCCCTCCCTATGAGCCCACTGTGCTCTGATGTGTGTTTATGTGTTACAATGGCGTTTGTTAGCAACCAGAAAAGGACACCAGTAATGACAAACAGATGAGAATGCTGCGTGGGGTCTGGGTGCCGTGTTGGCGGGACGTTGTGCGGCTTGCTGCTCCGCCCTTTGAGGCTCGAGGAGCGGACAGTGTGAGCTGGATTACTGGTGTCGTTTCCTGGTTGCTGCGTGGGGTCTGCGAGACAGCGAGACAGCGAGGAACTTTCCTCATCATGAAATTAAAGCTTTATCGTTTTCTGAGGTCAGAATGATTATATATTATAGGTCTATATATGTTGATACAAAGATAGGCTACTACTCACACTGCTGCTGTTTTCCTCCGAGTCTGAGAAAGTAACACACGTCCGTGTTTTGTTATGAAGCTGGCATTCAGGAAGCTGCGCTCTGATGGTGTGGATATGGAGGAGACTTTTTGCCGTCGTAGTTTGCATGTCCTTTACTCGCTCAGAAAGATCCACACTTTAGATTTCCTGCCCGACCAAATTAACTTAAAGGTCACGTATTATGCAAAATCCACTCTTTCATGTCTTTTATACATCAACATGTGTCCCCTCTGTGTAAAGAGATTCTGAAAGTTTCATGAAAAAAGATTCTCTCACTTTTTGTCCTGATCCATTTATATAAAAACCTGTCTGAAAATGAGCTGATCAGATTTTGGCAACTTTATTGCCAAAATGTTTTGTTTTGGCTTGTGTAACCATTAGCCAATAACCAACCAAGGTACGATGATCGTGTTGCTTTTAATCATACGAAGCCAGATTAAATTAAATAACTACTTCTCAACCCTTATACTTTTCTCCAGAGTGCCGTGGTTCATTGTTTATTAATGTGTTTCAGCGGCATTTACCGACCGCTGCAGTGCTGCCCGCTGTTTGGCATCACAACACTGTTATGAAAGTTTATCTGGTATAAAATGGGTGATGTTAGCATAGCAACCGACTATCTTGACGACTTGTTGCTATCCTATTGTGGCATAAGCCGGCACATTTTACCGGCGTATTTTTCATTATGATTCTACTTGTGATAGTCGGACATGACAACCTGTGCAGCCCATGTATTGATTCCATCCGATAGCTGCTATAATAACAAACAAAACGTCTGCCTGCTCTCCACAATGATCAATAACAGCGAACGGATGGTCAAAGTAAGGTACAAATAAACAGAATCACACGAAGCCTGGTTAGTGTTGCCTGACTTTATAAAGTGTGTTTTTTTTATAAGTGTGTGGTTGCCTTCTAGTCACTTTGCTCAGCACTACTGCTTGTTACAACTTTCATTTGCCGTACTCGCCATAAACTGTTATTGCTCAGGTTGATCCTGCCCCTGCCCCTGCCTCTGACGTAAGCGTGACGTGAAGCATTCTTGCTTCTAGACCGACAATTTTTTGGTGCTTGAAAAGCACCGGTTTTCGGAGCTTAGAGGCGGCTCCGCTGCGTTGTGAACAGGAAAAAAACGGTGCTTTTCAGGCTCTAGCTCCGAACCGGCCCTGGAACCGCGTTGGTGTGAAAGGGGCATCAGAGGGGCGTGGGGAGTGGCTCCTTATTTTCATCTAAGTAACAGACAGAGAATCAGCACTTTTGAAACAGGGCTGAAACAGAGGGGTTTATGGGATGCTACAATGATCTGTTTGGTATTTAGAGCCAAACACTTCAGAGACATGTTTTGTATATATCTGAGACCTATAATAAAGTAATGAAAAACAGTATAATAGGGGACCTTTAATGACCAGGCTCCGCTCTGAATGAAGTCTGAGGGGGAACCGGCTGACGCGTCATAGCACGTGCAGCTTTTTTTCAATTTTTTATATCATTTTAAATTTTTCAACTAATCGACTAATGAAAAATTGCTCCATTAAGACTTTATTAGTCGACTAGTGATTATTCGACTATTATGGGGCAGCCCTAGATTGTAATGGGGTAGAAGTACAAAGTAGCACAGAAATGAAATACTCAAGTAAAGTACAAGTATATCAACATTTTACTTTAGTACAGTACTTGAGTAAATATACTTAGTTACTTTACACCACTGGTAGTGGAATACATACAAAGAGCTTGTAGCTGAAGGTGAGCAGCAGCTGGACGCTGTACACCTGCTCCTCAGGTTTTAGAGGCAGATGCAGCTGAAGATTCAGGAGGTCCAACTTCCCATCCTGGTTTTGGTCCTCTTCTCTCACCTAGTGTTCACCCACACAGAAAAGAAAAGAGAAGTCTGATAACTAGTAGTTTTTCTCATTGACAGTGTTGAGCAAAATGAGCAAAATTAATTGTGATTATTATCAAAATAGAGACACACAGTGCCAGGGGATGTGTCCTTACAGAAACAGCAGGGATCCGGAGGTTGGCCCCCAGCATGTTGTTGAGATGGGGGAAGGTGCTCCAGGCCACGTAGTCTCCCTGTGTGTTGGTGGCTGCCACCAGCAGCGTCTGGTACTGGAACCTTACCACCGGCTGCTCCTCATACGTGCTTCTTTTCATCCAGAAACCTGGAATAATATGGCTTTTAACAGCAGGTAAACATTTCTACGTCTTGAACCCCAGTGTTGGAATTAGGAATATTTACACCTCACGGGACATACAGTGGACGAAAATAACTAAGTCAATTTAATCAAGTACTGTTTTAAAGTACTTACTTTATTGGAGTATTTTCATTTTGTGCTACTTTATACTTCCATTCCACTACATTTTGGCAGCAAGTATTGTACTTTTTACTCACTACAATTATTTCACAACATAAGTATAAAATATCATATTAATACAAACTACTTACTAATAAGTACTTTTAGATTTGGTACTTATGTACATTTCGCATCTAATAGTTGTACCTTAACTTGAGTAACATTTTGAATGCAGGACTTTTACTTGTAACAGAGTATTATTACTACACTGTAGTTATTTTTTTTAGGTATAAGATCGGAGTACTTCTTCCACCACTGGACATATTTGTAGTTTCTCAGCAATAGCGACGGAAGCCTACTTGTTTGATATATTGATATCAACATTAAGTTCGTTTAATCAAACGTTACTGTACCTTGGCTTCTGTATGCAACGAGGAGAGGTGGGATGTAGGTAAGGCACAAAACAACAACCAGGAACAGGGTGGCTTTTGTGCAAACACTCGTTTTGTACCGAATCAAAGCCGGATGAGAATAGACTTCATAGAAAGCCATAGGTAACGAAATAAAGAGCGTGCGGAACCGCCAGTGTTATCCAGTCAGTCGGCTAGCTAACTATGCTAGGTAGCTAATGTTCGAACAAGCAAAGATGGTAACTGAGTGGGTGCATCCGGAGGACTAACGTTAGTAGACACTCATAGACAACACACCGACACACAAACACATACTTAAGTATTTAAGAGCGTGTTTTGGCAGACAACATCTAGCGTATAAATATGCTATTTAGTCTAGAGCCATACACCGCGCCATGTTTCAGTTTAGCTTCTCACGGTTACCATGGCTGCCAGTACCATTAATGCTGCATTCAAGACATGTCAATATAATGGGACGAACAGGACCACCATTTGTTATTCATATTTGAGAGAGTAGATATGAGTAATTCCCATAGACTGTATATATAAAGGTAATTCCCGATGCTAGCCACGTTATACTTAATCAAAATAGCCTACATTAGCTACCTTTGTGGTGTCAGTGATATAATTGTGCTTTTATTTAATGTAAGATATATGAATTGTAGCTTTCCAGCTACTTTTTAACAGCTTCTGCAGTTATTTTCACCGAGTGGAGCAGATGGCCCCTTCCCCTTTTAATTACATTTTGAACATTATATTTACTTGTAACGGAGCTTCCTACACTTTAAAATGGCTGCTTTTACATTGGAAAATTACCTATTTTACATGATGTACCCCAGTTGGGCCCTGCGTGTACTTTCTGCTTTGTTTATATTATGGCTTATGGCTCAATTAGTGATAATGATTATTTCCTGGAGAACTTGAAGGCAGCATTATTATCACCACCCTGTCAGACAGTGACGTCACCACACAGCGAGACGGACAGTTGCAAGCTTCGGGCAGAGAAATTGTTGACGTTTTGTTTTGATCGCTTTCGTCTGGATTGTTGGACATTACGCCGAAATTACCCGCTAATATAGAAGCCTGCCTACCGACTCTACCATCACGCCTCAGTGCAGGGATCCAGCAAAGATGAAATGGATGTTTAAAGAGGACCATTCCCTCGGTAAAGGGGATTGGATTATTATGAAACAAGAGATGCTCTTGTCATGTCATGCGCCCTCCTTTCTGTTTTGCTCTATGCTATTCTGCCATATCATTCCACAGTGGTGCAGCGATGCATGCTTCTTACAGCAAATGACTGATCCATAAGGCCTAACCTTGCATGACTAGCAACAAATCCTTTCCCTTAAAGTCAAATAACCGCTGTCAACACCGGCTTCACCTTTAATACAACACATTAGTCAGCTGTTTTGAGCTTAGGAAACGTGCCTTTCGTTTGCATGGAGACTGTTCTTTGCCAAATTATATTCTATTTTATGACAATTAAGTGTCGCCTTGTATATCATACTGATATATAATTGCTATTAGTGTTAATTAAGTTAATTGGCCTAAAATAGCCTGCTCCACAAAGCACTTTTACTCAAAAGTATATTTGAATTGTAACTGTTTGCATTGCTTCACACTGCATGCTACCGCTCTACTGCTTTGATTTACTGAAGAAGAGAACATTTAAAGCAGGACAAATACAAAAATTAATTTGTTTGAAAGTAGTTGTGACAGTGTACCAGAGGTGGGAGATTTACCCACATATTGTACTTGAGTAAAAGTAGAAGTACCAGAGTGTAGGAATAGTATTATTATCTAAATATAGTTCAAGTAGCGACAGTAAAAGTAGTCATTGTGCAGATTGGTCCATTTCAGAATAATATATATGATATGTTTTATAATGATTGATCATGAAAGTGTTCTCAAAGCTGGTAAAGGTGCAGCTAGTTTGAATGACTTTGTATACTGCAGGGTAGCTTGTGCATTTACTCCAGGTGGAACTAAAGTCTGATTTAACACTTGATTAGATTTCACATCATTAATCCACATCTGTAAAGTAACTAAAGGTATTAAATACATGTAGTGGAGGAAAAGTACACCATTTACCTCTGAATTGTACAAGTAGAAAGTAGCAACAAATTGAAATACACAAGTAATGTACAAGTACCTCAAAATTATACTTAAGTACGGTACTCAAGTAAATGTACTTAGTTACTTTACACCACTGCAGTGTACATAGATAGAGTTTAAGAGTGTTTGAAAAGTTGTGCATCTACAGATTTAACGTCTCCTCTTGCATGCACATTTTAAGGGGGAATATTCCATTACCAATATTTCTAAGGGACTTGTAAAGTTCCACCAGTTCTCAGACAGCTGGGGTAGATTGTTTTGCACCTCCAGACTTTATTTTTGTCCCTCTTGTTTCAGCTCCTCTTCAGATAACTTCTCCTTTTTAAAGAGACGCTGGTCTGGTAGAGGTGTTTCTTAAAGTAAGCCTCTTATCTGGGCTAACGTAGGCCTGCACAGTGTTGGAGCATCTTATCATCCCCCCCCTGAGGCCCTCTGCTGTACCAGCTGCTGTGGTGTCATGGAGTGAAGTATACGGCATTTACTCAAGTATTGTACTTAAGTATGATTATAAGGTACTTGTACTTTACTTGAGTATTTTAATTTGTGCTGCTTTTGCTTCTACTCCACTACATTTAACAAGCCAATATTGTACTTTTTACTCGACTTCATTTATCCGACAACATTAGTTACGTTACAGATTCAGATTATTTGCTAATAACAATAATATAAACAAACTATGATAAATAATTATAAGTTAAGATATTCAGCAGTAGTATACACTGCAAAAACTGAAACGTGGACTTTAATTAAATGTAAATGTCAACCGATTTAATAATATCAAGTTTGAATAAAATATATTAGGTTCAACTTAATATTATTGCTTTCAACTAACCTAATACAGTTATGTGTATTTAAAAAGTCAACGGTTCAGTTTTTTCAGTGTGTAAAATAATTAAAATGAGCTCCACCTGATGAACACATTAACACAATCCAGTCAATTCATATATATGATTCTGAATTGAGCTATTAGTACTTTTGGTCCTTCAAGTATATTTTGAAGCTGATACTTTGTACTTTTACTTTAGTAAGATTTTAAATTACATTACATGTTACTTGTTAGACACTTTTATCCAAAGCGACTTACATACTCAATACTGTGGACAATCCCCACAGGAGCAATTTGGGGTGAAGTGTCTCAGGGACACAACGACATGCTGACTGCAGTGGGGTTTGAACCTGTGACCCCCTGATCCCAACACCAACTCACAACCCACTGCACCACACGCCTCCGCATGACAATTACTTGTAACTGACTATTTTTACACTGTAGTAGTTCTACTTTGACTTAAGTACAATGTCGGATTACTTGCTGCACACTAAGCAGAGGTGTCCTGGAAATAGATGAATCTTTGATGATGACAGAGATCATGAAAATGCTTAGTATCACTTTGTTAAAGTGGATTTGATTCATACCTATTCAACTATCAGTTCTAAAATGAATGAAATGATTCACACTTGGTGTAAAGCTGCATCCTGCACAAAGCCTCCTCTCCTTTGTCTGGCCAGGCTGTGCTGGGTGTTCTCATGGAGCACTGCGTCAGTCTGTGTTTGACAGTGAGGATGAGAGGAGGCTCCCAGGAGGCCTCTCTCAGCCCTTTAATCCTGACTTCCTGTTTGTTTCCCGTCTCTCCCTCAGAGCACCGATGTGTGGAGTCAGCCAAAATACGCAACAAATATCCGGACAGAGTACCGGTGAGTAGGGCGGAGGGGGAGTTTAGGCTCAAATTAATCCACTTAATAATTTGAACAAGATATGTCAATTCAACAAGTTTGAATTTAGGATAAGATTAGATAAAGTTTACTGATCCTGCTCAGGTTGTGTCCGAGAAGTACACAAATATGATATAAGTACAAATATATCCAAGTAAACTAAACTACAAACCCAATTCCGATGAAGTTGGGACGTTGTGTAAACGTAAATAAAAACAGAATAAAATGATTTGCAAATCCTTTTTGATCTAAATTCAATTGAATACACTACAAAGACAAGATCTGTAAGGTTCAAACCGATAAGCTGTATGTATATCCAATAAAGCTGGGACAGGGGCAAGTTCACCACTGTGTTACATCACTCGGTAACAATAAGCGTTTGGGAACAGTTGGAGCTTTGTAGGTGGAACTACTTCCCGTTCTTGCTTGATGTAAGACTTCAGTTGCCCAACAGTCCGGGGTCTCCGCTGTCATAATGCTCCACACATTTTCAATGGGAGACCGTCTAGTACTCTCACTCTTTTACTATGAAGCCACGCTGTTGTACCACGTCCAGTTTGTGGCTTGGCATTATCTTGCTGAAATAAGCAGGGACGTCCCTGAGAAAGAGGTCGCTTGGATGTTGCTCCAGAACCTGTCTGTACCTTTCAGCATTAATGGGCACTAACACCAGACCATCACAGACGCTGGCTTTTGAACTTTGCGCTGATAAAAATCCGGATGGTCCCTTTCCTCTTTAGCCCGGAGGACACGACGTCCACGATTTCCAAAAAACAGTTTGAAGTGTGGACTCATCAGACCACAGCACACTTCTCCACTCTGCGTCAGTCCATCTCAGAGGAGCTCGGCCCAGAGGAGCCGGCGGTGTTTCTGGGTGTTGTTGATATATGGCTTTGGCTTTGGTAGAGTTTTAACCTTCACCTGTAGATGTGGCGACAAACTGTGTTTACTGACGATGGTTGTGATGGACATTTCTGAAGCAATGGAGACGAAACTCAGAGAGACACGAGGAGAGCAGGAACTTTGATGGCAAACACTGATGGTTTATTCGGAGCTTCGGCCGGAGAATTCACAAGACATGTGCTGCTGCCACGAGTTGACACAACGGATGCCAAACCAATTCTGAAGATCTCTACCCCAGACCCATTTAGCTGGTTCTGAGAGAATAATCAACATGCTGCATAACAAGATACTACAGGCAAAGCACAATAACACCTCTATCAGCTGACGCCAACAGGCAGGAACATAGAACCATAACACCTCTATCAGCTGACGCCAACAGGCAGGAACATAGAACCATAACACCTCTATCAGCTGACGCCAACAGGCAGGAACATAGAACCATAACACCTATCAGCTGACGCCAACAGGCAGGAACATAGAACCATAACACCTCTATCAGCTGACGCCAACAGGCAGGAACATAGAACCATAACACCTCTATCAGCTGACGCCAACAGGCAGGAACATAGAACCATAACACCTCTATCAGCTGACGCCAACAGGCAGGAACAGGGAGACAGAACACTGAGAGCACAGCAGCCCAAGGTTGCAGGCCTGTGCTCAGTGAGGTCAGTACACACTGATAAACTGGGTCAAGGTTATGGGCCTAGGAAAAGACAACAATGGTTTTCAGTGTTCGAAGGTCACTGGCATTCAATGTTGGTTTCCCGCCTTTCCGCTTACGTGCAGAGATTTCTCCGGATTCTCTGAATCTTTTGATGACATCATGGACTGTAGATGATGAAATCCCTAAATTCCTTGCAATTGTACGTTGAGAAACTCTTAAGCTGTTGGACTATTTGCTCACGCAGTTGTTCTCAAAGTGGTAAACCTCGCCCCACCCTTGCTTGTGAACGACTGAGCCTTTCTGAGCTTTTTTTGTGGATGATAATGTCTTTATATATATATATATATATATATATATATAGTCTATAGGTAATACCTGTAAAACTCAATCCTGATTATTCATTCTTTAAATGTGTGTGTGCTCCAGGTGATCGTGGAGAAGGTGTCCGGCTCTCAGATCGTGGACATCGATAAGAGGAAGTACCTGGTGCCCTCTGACATCACAGTGGCCCAGTTCATGTGGATCATCAGGAAACGGATCCAGCTGCCTTCAGAGAAAGCCATCTTCCTCTTCGTCGACAAAACCGTCCCTCAATCCAGGTGAGAGCCCCCCCCCCCACATCCTGCAGCTGGAATGAGGGCAGAATGATTTCCTATTGCTTTTCATATCTATATCATACGTGGCTTGAAGCACTAAATCAAACTTGTTCGCAGCAGAGCCAAAGTGAAGTTCTTTTTCTGACGGTTTGATTATAGATTGTATACTTTTCTGTTGTGCGTTCATAAAGGGTTATCAAAATACTTATTGCAGGAATTGATCAAACTAGATTAAGAGAGTGTGTCTCTGTAAATGTACCTTACATTGATCTGAAACCAAGATGATGGTTTACCAAGTAGTAGTCAAATTTAGTTATTTGATCAATATCTTGGTAAAACACTTATAATGAAGTATATTTTATATTTGTTTTTCAGCTGTAATACTGTAGCTCTTTGTAGAGTTTTGACTGGTTCTTTCGTCATCATCACAATTACAGACACTAATATACAGACATCTCTAAAACATGATCAGTTCTTCACTATACTTCTGAAAAAGACTGCTGACCATTCACTATAATGTACATAATGACAACAATAATACTATCTTTATTCATATAAGACCTTTCAAAACACACACACACACACGCACGCACGCACGCACGCACGCACGCACGCACGCACGCACGCACGCACGCACGCACGCACGCACGCACGCACGCACGCACGCACGCACGCACGCACGCACGCACGCACCGGGAAAACAATTGGTTTGCTATTGTGGTCGTATAAATCCCATTTTTGCTTCTGTAAGATGCTTGAATGTAGCAAACTTGAAAAGCAAAACCTCTTCCGATGGGGATTGAAGCAGAATATGTTCTTAAAAATATACGGAGAACATTTTGTAAAGGATTACATCTATCTTTATGAGGTGGAAACTGGCAGACTATAGAAACATGTGGTGCAACATGTAGGGTCTACACCAAGCCCCCAGGAAGTGGGGCGGGGGTTGAAGCACAACGGCTAAACGGGGATACAATAAATACCCTGTCAGTCTGTGGCGACATTGGGCACAAACATTTCTTTTTCATATTGACTGACATGGAAAAGAGAAATCTGTCAATCAGCGTATCACTTAATTTAGCTTAATCAACTAGCCAGCACAAACACTTTTATATCCATTATTTAAATCATTAGGGTCTTAAAGTTGTCAAATGCGCTAAAAGCTGAACCCAGAGTGACCCCTGACCCTCATGGAATACTGTGAGCTACTGCCAATGTTTTGTTCAATAACGATATGTTACTGCCAGTGTTTCCCGTTAAAAGTGCTCTCCTGTCCACATGAGGTGCGTTTTGGGAAATGTTGCAGGAAACCGAATGTAGTGTCTCCAAGGTTAGTCCACCATTTTTGTTGTCAGTGGATAATACATATTTTTGTAAGTTATTAACGCGACAGCTGAGCAACCACAGTGAGCTTTAATATGAAGAGACACAGCAAGGAAACAGAGTGTGGACACTGTGGCTGGCTTCAGCTCGGCTGGACACTGTGGCTGTCCTCAGCTCTGCTGGGCACTGTGGCTGGACACTGTGGCTGGACACTGTGGCTGGACACTGTGGCTGTCCTCAGCTCTGCTGGGCACTGTGGCTGGCTTCAGCTCGGCTGGACACTGTGGCTGTCCTCAGCTCTGCTGGGCACTGTGGCTGGACACTGTGGCTGGACACTGTGGCTGGACACTGTGGCTGGCTTCAGCTCTGCTGGACACTGTGGCTGGCTTCAGCTCTGCTGGACACTGTGGCTGGCTTCAGCTCTGCTGGACACTGTGGCTGGACACTGTGGCTGGACACTGTGGCTGGACACTGTGGCTGTCCTCAGCTCTGCTGGGCACTGTGGCTGGCTTCAGCTCTGCTGGACACTGTGGCTGGCTTCAGCTCTGCTGGGCACTGTGGCTGGACACTGTGGCTGGACACTGTGGCTGGACACTGTGGCTGTCCTCAGCTCTGCTGGGCACTGTGGCTGTCCTCAGCTCTGCTGGGCACTGTGGCTGGCTTCAGCTCTGCTGGACACTGTGGCTGGCTTCAGCTCTGCTGGACACTGTGGCTGTCCTCAGCTCTGCTGGACACTGTGGCTGGCCTCAGCTCTGCTGGGCACTGTGGCTGTCCTCAGCTCTGCTGGGCACTGTGGCTGTCCAGCACTGCTGGACCTGGCCTCCTCTCTGCTGGGCACTGTGGCTGTCCTCAGCTCTGCTGGACACTGTGGCTGGACACTGTGGCTGGACACTGTGGCTGTCCTCAGCTCTGCTGGACACTGTGGCTGTCCTCAGCTCTGCTGGACACTGTGGCTGGACACTGTGGCTGGACACTGTGGCTGTCCTCAGCTCTGCTGGACACTGTGGCTGGCTTCAGCTCTGCTGGACACTGTGGCTGTCCTCAGCTCTGCTGGGAACAGTGTCTCAGCACCCTGATTCATAGTATTAAACTACTCACTGTTACACACTAACCATGTGTCGCCAAAATAAAGAAAAAGGAAACATTATTAATATCTTATGGATTACAACTTTAACCCCTTTATACGTTTCTAAAAGTGGCATCATGTTTTTTGAGTCTTACACCTGACAAGTTAACAGAATCACACATTTGGCAGCCTGCTTTGATGGGGATGCCATTCAGTTAACATTTTCTCCTTTTTAGTTTCATGCTTCCTGAAACGAGAGGCCATGCTGTGACCGCTGAGCTGAGGGTCCTCATATCAGTGGCCTGTCTGGACATTGTGTAGTCGTAGGATACATCTGGGTTAAAGATTGTTCAGTGCAGATCAAATCCCCATGAATGAGTCAACAGAGGAATAGATGAATAGGAGCCGAAAATAAATACTGCAGGCATCACTTCCTCATCCTGCTAATAATGGAAATAGATCCAAGAGAGAAGCAGAGGGCTCTGAAGTCGGCTGAGAGGCCTGCTCCCAGATGGGGTCACAAAGAGAGAGGGAGGTGCAATGGGCCTGTGTGGACACTTTTCAGAGTCACAATCCAGTTTATTGCCACACACGTTTACACATACAAGGAATCTGCTTTGATATCTGGTGGTGCAAGCATAAACAATCTAAGTAAATAAGTTGCAATAGTATTTAAAAAATAGAAACGTATAAGGATAATGAAAAACAAGTCTTTTTAAGAAACAATTTAGCATTAAAATAAGAACATAAAGACAAGTATTTACACCAAATGTTAGTTTAAATATACACCTACACACCTTTAAAGCTAAAAACTAAAAACCAAAAACACTTCACCATACTATTTATAAAATATAAAGTATATGTGGCGACAAAAGACACCTTTTAGTAGGGAAGCTGCTTGTAGTGTTTAAATACACAGGGAAATGCCTTTTCAGTTACTGTATACTAATGTGTGCACTTTTAGAAATGCTTGTCAGCAAAATGTAAATATTGGCAAAAATCCAATAATAATATCGTGACAATTTATACTATTAATAATGTCCACATATAAACTGTTATGGATATTTCTAAGCGTGCATACAATAATATGGTTGGTTGTTTATAAATCATTTTAAGCATTTAGTGTATTTTGCATTTCTGGTACATATTTGCTGACATAGACATTTAGCAAACAACAGCAGGGACTTTCCCTCCACTGCCGCTCAGCTGTATACCTGAGATTAGCTTAATGTCACTCTGAGCTGACTTACTGGTTGTTCTCTAATGCATAAACAGGATGAATTATGCTAAAACAGGAGTTACATTTGTATTATTTAAATATTTGTGTATGTGTTGTTCTTATACTGTAGACTGAACAAGCCTCATTTTGGATGGATTAGGCCTCTTTTACTACATGTTTTGCCCTCAAATGTTTTTGCTTTGCTTTTGGAATATGTGTGGTCCTTAGACATGCTGATCTAACCGTTGAGCTTTCTGCTGTGTGTTGCAGTCTGACTATGGGCCAGCTGTACGACAAGGAGAAGGACGAGGACGGCTTCCTGTACGTGGCCTACAGCGGGGAGAACACCTTCGGTTACAAAGCCTTTTATACAACACGGGGTTAATGCTTCACTGAATACCAGTTACTCACACACACACACACACACACACACACACACACACACACACACACACACACACACACACACACACACACACACACACACACACACACACACACACACACACACACACACACTTTAGGGCCCTAAAATAATAAGCTTTTTCATGTGATACACAAGTAACGCACCTACACACTTGGCATAGGCATTTATGGTCAATTTTGATACTAGAAAATATACATTTTATGGTGAAAATTAACCTACGCCAATATGCTACAACAAACAAACAAACAAGTAACACACTTGTATTTTTGGAAGGCTCAGATAATCATCAGTGTCAAGAAATGGTTGGTCTTTAGCCATGATTACTGTTTCAAGATTAGTTGTGGAGAGAAATATCTGTAACACTGCCGTTAAAAAGAAATAATGCACACTGTAGGCACATCAAATATCATTCACTTTCCAAGTACATGCCAATCTTCACTCATTACACAATTTGGTTTCACAGATATGTGTTCAGCTGAAGTGAGTAAGAAACTCTATAATCATGTGACTAGAATCATTAACCACGTTATGGATGTATTTGTATGGCTTATTGTATCGTGTATGAAAAGTGAAGTATTTAACTAATGCCGCAGCACTATGATGAACTATAAGACCAACTATAAGCAGCAGAGTTAGCTGGTGAATGATAATGGATACCTGCTAGCAGAGAGGCAGCCTGTTTAAAGTGTGTGTCCCTGAGGGCCAGGGACCAGCAGCGTTACAGAGTGCTTCCAAGCCTGGCTCTTATGTATTTTAACGCATTATGTCAGATGTTGGTTAGACCCAAACGGGATGCATACTCATGATGCCAACAGCAAGCCATGATCCTCAGTGACCCGCTGAAGAAATCAACACTTTACTTGAAGAATGATGTTTTTTAGTGTTCTCATCACAGGGCAACTATGTGAAATGTAGAACTAAAACTCAAGCGGAACCTCTTGTATAACCTCTTGGCACTTTACCTGTTCTCCGCCTACTCCCATTGTCTAGCTTTACATAAGTAAGAGATTTCTACACTCCCCTCACATTTAAATTTAAATTTGTCAAACACAATTCTTACTCATAGTAATAATAATAGTTGCAGTATTCGGGTGTTAGCTTCTAGTTTTCTTCGACCAGTGGCATTGATTTAGATACAACCAAGTCTTTAAAAGAAAAACTGCAAATCCACTGAGAGTCCCACATAGGTACACATTCACATCAGAACATGCACATTATCCATTTGTATATGTTTATAATTCAAATACACAGGGCTCTCAGTGGAAATAATAGTTAATCAAATGTGCAGAGGGCTTTCCAAGCTGTTAATGATTGAACTTGATACTTAATAAACCCTGTGTTCATGGTTAATATATTCTGCAGTGTTATTCACGTTTCAAATGCTTCAAGTAAAGTGTTGCTCATGTGTTTTGCTTTGTGAGTGTCAGAGCGTCTTTCTTCTTCTCTCAGATAACGATATCTGCAGTTTTTGGTGCTGAATCAGAGTCAAAGCCATCAGGCTCTTTACCATCCTTTACTTGACCCATAAAAGTATTCATAAATGTGCACCACAAGATGATTCAGGCTTTAAACACAGTATGTAGATGTGTAATATATTGCTATAATATTCAGTATTTTTATTTCTTCAATGTTGTAGGTTTGTTAAATCTAACTTAGACATTTTAAATATTTGACCATGGTAAGGTAGCTGGAAGACCTGACCAATACAAATAAATAAATGATACGAATCGTAATGTGTTTGAAAAATGAATATATGTTTTATTTCATGACAAATGTGATATCCTGTGCAGTGTTATAGAACAATGTTTTACAAGCCTGTCCCTTTCATTGTGAAGACAAAACACAAAACAAGTCCAGTGAATTTCACAAATCTGCTTTACAATCCGCACAAGATACAACCCCTTCCTTCAGAGCAGATGTGTGTCGATTTGTCAGACGTGGCACAAGCTGAAATCAAAGCACAAACCTCATCCTTTGAGTGCTCTGCAAGGAACACACCAGAAAACAAGTTACTAAGAAGAATTTACTGTAGAATGGTGGCCACGGAGCAATGCCCCGGATTCTCAGCCTTACCCAAACACCAGTGGGAGAAGAGCTTCCATTTGCACTCATACTGCGCTCGAATGGATGGTGCTCTGGCATTCAGGATAGTTTCCCTGACAGATGCTGTGAAAACGCTCAACAGTGGGTTGGGCCCCGCAGAGGCCAGGCCCCGAGCTGAAGGCGGTGAGGGTCGGGATGCCAGATCTGACCCCTGAGCTGTGACAGAAGGTCCTTCCTGTCGGGGAGACGCCATGGTGGGCTGCAGCAGAGACTGCGCAGCAGTGGGAACCAGACTCTCCCCGGCCAGCGGGGGGCGACCAGAAGGAGCCTGTGCCCCTGAGTAAGGACCCTCTGAAGCGTCTGTAGTATCAGAGGCAGTGGTGGGAAGGCATACAGGAGACTGTCTGGCCAGTCGTGCGCCAGAGCGTCCTTGACTCTTCCGAGGCAAAGAGGTCCACCTCGGCCCTGCCGAAAAGGCTCCAAATGGTCTCCACCAGCTCTGGGTGAAGGCTCCACTCCCCCGGTGGAGGCTTGTGCCGAGAGAGGAAATCTGCCACCTGATTCTGGTCTCCTGGTAGAAAGACTGCCCGCAGACTGGCCAGGCGGGGGAGCGCCCAAGACAAGAGGCTCTGTGAAACCCGGAGCAGCTGTGCGGACCTGGTGCTCCCCTGGTGGTTGATTTGGGCCACAGCGGACATGTTGTCCGAACGAACGAGCACGTGCTTGCCCGCCAGTTGGGGTAAAAAGTGCATGAGTGCAAGCAGCACAGCCCGAAGCTCTAGCACGTTGACATGGTGTGCACCCTCCTGGGCAGACCACTGACCCTGAACAGTCCTGCCCTGCCACACTGCCCCCTGAGAGACATGCATCCACAGTGACAGTCTCCCGGCGGGATGGGCTGGCACCCATGGGCACGCCCATCAGAAGATAGGCCCTGTCCCTCCAGCGGGACAGAGAGTGGAGGCACCACTGAGACACCCTGACTCTCCTGTGCTTGTGCCACTTGGCGCCCAAGTGAAGGCTGTTCAGCCACATCTGCATGGGGCGCAACGACAGCAGGCTTAAGGGCACAACGGCTGAGGCAGCCGTCAGTCTGCCCAAGGGCCGGAGGAACTGAATATCAGGCACCATCTTGCCCGGCCTGAAGATGGGAAGAAGGTGGGAATGTAGCCACGGTACTCTCGCACAGCGAGAAGATGAAAGGAACAGATCCTCTGACGACACAGGCATATGTAGCCGGTGTCACGTGGGTCACAGGTGACTTTGTTGTTATTGGTACTCGAGCTGCGCATGCGCGCGATGGACATATCCAGTCCTCTGGCGGTCAGTAGGGACTAAATAGAACTGTTATTACAAGTAAAACATGAAAACTGATCTGATGTGTAAATCTATGGCTGGCCCTTCAGTTCAGACAAATAAGAACATAAAAAAAGGAAATTGAACCCGGAACATTTTCCACTTGAGGACAGGTACGTCCAGCTGTGTTTTTGAGAACATGAGAGCCAGCCAGCTGCAGTCACACTGTCTCAAACTGTGAAGACTGAAGCTTCATCCGAGGACACGGAGCTGGGTCCCCCCCCCCCCCCCCTCTCTGAGCAGTGAGACAGCAGAGCATCCTGCTGCTGCATGCAGTGACATCAGAGAAGAGTCCAATAGAGCCAACAATAAGAGTGTCTCAGGAGAAGGCCTTCAGTGGAACAGCAGGAGGCCCCTGTCAGTGCGAGGCCACAGAGGGAAGGCCTGACTGAGGAGCTGCTGCCAGGCCTGCTGGTAACTCTGAGCCGCCTGCTTGTAGTCCCAGTAGGTGAGCAGCTCTGCCCCCCTGGAGAGAGAGAGAGAGAGAGAGAGATTATTCTTCTGAATAATTATAGGTTTGTAGTCCCTTCAATGTATGCACACGTTTAGTTTCAGAGTCCCTTTGTTAGTCCCACAGCGGAGACATTTACAGTGTTACACAGAGATATAGAGAATATATATAGAGAAGATTGTTGAAGTTGTTTATTTGTAATTTTTGTAATTGTTATTGAAGCTATTGTAGTGATTTACGTTCAGATATTGTGACCAAATAATGAGTCTGGAGATATTGTGTTTTTGTTTTTGTCATTAAAACTCTAAAATACGTGAAAACTATTTTTCTTTTGCTCATTCCTTGATGTGAAATATTTTGAATTTTATATATTAAACCTGTATAAAAAACTAATAAATGTACAACTCCCATAAAAATGTAAATGATACTGATCATTTGAAATAAAGCAAGCAGGTTTCTCTTAGTCACAGGATGAGTCACATGATCCAGCAGGAACACACTGAAACCTTCCAGCAGACAGACTCCTGCTGTGGATCAGGTTATCTGTGTCACCGTCGTGTTGCGGGGACACTTGAGATGCCAAATGGAAACGTCTGCTGTAAAATGGGCCACTGTTGGGATCAGCATGTATTAAATGCAGATAGAAGTCCTTCACCAGACATACTGCGGTTGTGTAGAACATGTCTTTCTTTTACTTAAGCTAGATTAAATTGCAAGAACTACTTCTCCAACTGTATACTGTTTTCCAGAGTGACGTAGCTTAGTATGACAATAAGGTTAAACATTTGCTGACCACTGTAACGCTGCTCTATTTCCACCTACATTAAGCCCTGTTTCCTAACTCCAGCTGCCGCTTGAAACTAGTAATCCAGTCTCACCTGACGCATCATATTCCCCCAGAAATCAATTGATTTTTTTATTTTAACTAGCAATGTTTGGCAACATAGCCCCCTAAAACTTAGTTTACTTTGCAATAGTATAGTGTACGCAGTTTTTTGGTATATCCAGTAATGATTTTCTATATCTTAATGTTTAATAGTTTTAAAAATAGTTCCTTATAATTGTTTTTATTTCATTTTTGGTTGTTTTCCTTACCTTTAATCTTCTTTAACTGTGTTTATGTATGCACCATATACACCAAGGGAAATCCCTCTTATGTGTAACTTAGTGTTAAAACTGTTTCTGATGTCTAAATAAAGGATTGTATGATGTGAAGTCTCCATCGTAATACATGCTGTTAGCCAAGCCCAAGAAGCTAGTCTGACTAATTAATAACAAGTTTAAGCCCACCAACTACATAATACTTGTATTATATTTAATGTTACATTTCTCCATGTTAAGGAGAATTAAGAGGCAGCCTGGCATATTCATTATTCACCATGAATACTACATTGTTGCTACCACAATGAAAGCAAGCTATGGAGAAAAATGAATAATATGCCACACGCCTGGTTAATGTTGTTCTATATATAATGTGTGTGGTTCGAGCTCTATCCTGCTCTCAGTGCCACAGCTTCTGATGTACGCGGCTCTCTGCTCTGCTCCAGCAAATACTGGCTGCCTGAGCTGAAACAGTTTTCAGGGCCAAGAGCCAGCGCTGCTGCAGGGAAGCACTAAAACCTGGTTCACAATATGGCAGTGACTTTCAACCAGCCCTGGAACCGCCTTGGTAGACAAGGGCTAATAAATCCAGGACTGTGTGTGTGTGTGTGTGTCTGTGTGTGTGTGTGTGTCTGTGTGTTCCTGCATGTGTAGGACAGGCTGGGATCAGGTTATTTGCTGAAATGCTGATAAACAGAGAGAGCACTGTTCTTCACACACATACACACACACACACACACACACACACACACACACACACACACACACACACACACACACACACACACACACACACACACACACACACACACACACACACACACACACACACACACACACACACACACACACACACACACACACACACACACACACACACACACACACACCACACACACACACACACACACACACACACACACACACACACACACACACACACACGCATGAAATTCAAGCAGTAAATGTCACAGACAAAGACACCTGAGGGCTACAGCACAGATACACATGTTTATGATATCTCGAGTAAGCTATGTGACACTGTTTGGAAAGAAATACCTGGGATGAGTTTAAATACAACAACAAACCACAGTCACAGGTCAGTCAGCGGCAGACACACAGGTCTCAGTGTGCATCATGAACACTCTCTGACTGATTCACAAACACATTTCCTCACTGTGGATTCAACAGGCTGAAGCAGCAGAGTTACCCAAAGGTGATGAAGCCAGAGCACTGTTAGGAGATCTTCATTAGAGTTTCAGTCTGAAGCTGTTTCAATGAGTCAGATCATGAAAGAGTGGTTGTGTTACCTGAGAGGGGGGGGGGAGTGCTGTGGGCTCAGTGGCTGCTACCAGAGACAGGAAGGAGTGGAAGAGCTCCAGCTTACACAGCAGAGACCTACACACACACACACACACACACACACACACAAAATGTACTCTTCTTGATGAATCTTTACTGAGAGTATTCAGTAATCGATTACTTCTCATAATGTCTGTCGTGAGCATAGGTCGTGAGTGTACCTGGCTTTAGCCGTGCCGAGGGCCTTCCTGGTGACTCCGTGTTTGTAGCCGTTGGCGGTGACATCTAGTGGCTGCTCCGGCACATTACACCAGCTGATGGCTGAAACAGAGGTTATATTTACTCACTGAGCTCCCACTCTGTATCACATTTGAAAAACTCTTTAGTAAATGAGGTAGGAATCAAGCCCATTGATTACTCTTCTGTGAGATTAACAAGAGAGTGAGAGAGTAATGATCTTAGTTATTCTACATACCAAGTTTATAATGCATATTAAAATAAATGTTTGGCCCTGAATCACGTTAGGTCATAAGCCAAAGATTTGTTGCACAGTCCGAGCCTCTTTCTCTGATCATTGAGGTTGATAGATTATAAAAAACAACATGCCTGATTCTCCTGATTTTCTTTTGCACTGTACTGTACATACTACGATGATTGAAGAAAGTCACTTTTCCATGTAATGGCCCATAACATTAATTTTGGTGTGTTTAAGTGCGCTAACCTTTTCTCAAAAACAAAGAAAAAAGGAGATCTTGCACAAGTCTTAATAATAACTTCTCTTTGAATATTGCTGTACACAATAAAGGTCAGCACACAGTTTAGGCTCTGCATTTAACCCATCCTAGTATCAGCTATTGTACAGCGCTGGGGGGAGCAAAAGTGGGGGTCTGGTGCCTTGCTCAGGGGCACATTGGCCCCGGAGGTGAACTGGCACCTCACAAAGAACCTGGCAACACATATTAAAGATGTTTAACATGTCTGTATTTGGGGGCATTTCTATTGATTGGAGCACTCATTGATTCTATATATAGATATAGTTCAAGGAGACAATTTCAATTCGAAATTCATAGGGTCCGTACAACCAGAAGAACTTTTTGTATCTCAGCCTGTGGAGTGAGACTATGGAACAGTGTGAATGTGGAGTGAGACTATGGAACAGTGTGAACGTGGAGTGAGACTATGGAACAGTGTGAACGTGGAGTGAGACTATGGAACAGTGTGAACGTGGAGTGAGACTATGGAACAGTGTGAATGTGGAGTGAGACTATGGAACAGTGTGAACGTGGAGTGAGACTATGGAACAGTGTGAACGTGGAGTGAGACTATGGAACAGTGTGAACGTGGAGTGAGACTATGGAACAGTGTGAACGTGGAGTGAGACTATGGAACAGTGTGAACGTGGAGTGAGACTATGGAACAGTGTGAACGTGGAGTGAGACTATGGAACAGTGTGAACGTGGAGTGAGACTATGGAACAGTGTGAACGTGGAGTGAGACTATGGAACAGTGTGAACGTGGAGTGAGACTATGGAACAGTGTGAACGTGGAGTGAGACTATGGAACAGTGTGAACGTGAAGTGAGACTATGGAACAGTGTGAACGTGGAGTGAGACTATGGAACAGTGTGAACGTGGAGTGAGACTATGGAACAGTGTGAACGTGGAGTGAGACTATGGAACAGTGTGAACGTGGAGTGAGACTATGGAACAGTGTGAACGTGGAGTGAGACTATGGAACAGTGTGAAGAGCTAAAGCCATGTCCAGACATTAACCAGTTCAAGAGGAAATACAGAGAAATTATTTTCTCGAGGTACAGGGATGGGGAAGGTGTTTGACTATGTGTATATGTATATGTATGAGTATGTAGGTGTGTATATGTATGTGTGCATATATGTATATCAGTGTATGTGTGTATATGTATATGTTTATATGTATATCAGTGTATGTGTGTATATGTATATGTTTATATGTATATATGTCAATAAACAGATAAAGCAGATTAATAATAATAATAACAATAATAATGAATAATAATGATAATTATTGCAGATTATAGATTATAAATAAATCATTTAGGGACAAGGGGGTGAGATTAAATAAATTATACTTCTTCTCACTCCTTTTCGAACACTAGATGTGCCACTGTTTATGTTGCTAATGCTGTTGTTGTTGTTGTAAATGTCATGTTTTGTTTTTGATTTCTCTTACATGACTATGCACTGCAACATTTGTTTTGTTTTGTAATTATTTATTTTACTTGTTCGAAATAAATGTATCAATCAATCAATTCTGAGCTTTATGAATGTGTGGTTCTTATTAAACCTAAGCCTATCAGAACCAATGTATTATTGTACCATGCATTCTAACTGTGTGTGTGTGTGTGTGTGTGTGTGTGTGTGTGTGTGTGTGTGTGTGTGTGTGTGTGTGTGTGTGTGTGTGTGTGTGTGTGTGTGTGTGTGTGTGTGTGTGTGTGTGTGTGTGTGTGTGTGTGTGTGTGTGTGTGTGTGTGTGTGTGTGTGTGTGTGTGTGTGTGTGTGTGTGTGTGTGTGTGTGTGTCTCCCACCTGCTCCACAGGGGGAGATGCGTCCCTGTCCTGCCTGGTGGTGCAGCTCCGTCTGGGCCTGGCTGAAGGGGAACTCCAGGCTGGACTGGAGCAGCTGGGGGGGGCAGACAGAGAACCCTGCAGGGAGGGCCGACACACAGGAACACCTGGGGGAGGGGGTGGGGGGGTGGGGTACAGGAGGTGTATGGTCAGAAAGTCTGCTGGCTTCCTCACACTGAAGGAGATACATTAAGATGTCTTCCTTCCTGGAGGAGCAGCCACTGAGGATGTGAGATTCATTTAGAGCCCGTTTGGCTTGTATGTCATTAGAAGAAAAGAAGCCTCTGTTCCATCAAAAGAACCAGCTGGCAGAATGCAGACATCATCTCTTTATGGTGTTTGCTGTTAAAAAAGGTTGCAATAAAATAAGGAGGAGAAAATAAATGGAGGAGAAACTATTCAACTGAATGATAATGAATAGAAGCATGAAGACTGAGTGAGGTGAAGAGTTGGGACCAAAGTTTGGGAATAGATCTTACGCTCGGGGAGAAACACTGTAGAATGTACTTAAAGCTGCACCACTGGTATTTTAAGGTGCACTAATATATTGTTTGACATGAATAATGGGTCAAATGTCTAATGTAAGCTCACAGAGAATCATTACCTCATTCCACCGCTCTCAGCTGAAGGTCATTCTTTAAAAAACGCTTGCCTAGTTGCTAACATTATGATAATCGATTAGATCTGGATTCTCTGATTCCAGATTCTTATGAATGTCTATTTTCACTTTTTCTGACATTTTATAGACCAAACTAGAATTGAATCAATAAAAAAGGAAATGATCAACAGATCAATGGACTATCATGAGTTGCAGCTGTACTCAAAGTGTTAACTGTTTCCTGCCAACAAGTTGACCGAACAATCAATGAATGCAGCTTCAAATACGGCATCCTGAAAATATATTCTATTTGAGGCTCAGAACATGTGACTTTACCCCGGGGATGATTTGATGTCAACAAGACTTTAATCTGGTTGAAAAAGGAGATAAATATCTGATATCTCTTTTTTCCAATCAAGTCTGACTGTAACAGTGTTTCATAATTAGTGCGTATGGAAGAGTTAAATAAAGGACAGCAGTGATTTCCCCAGAGCCGAGGAAGGTGTTCAAAGTCTCTGAAGCAACACTTAAAGGTATTTCTTTAACAATGACTTTTATAATGTGTCAGCAGCATTCCTCTTACCTCGTGACCAGAGCTCTGGTCATGGCCTCCTGGCTGTACGGACCCCCCCCCACCACCAAGGTGCTGTAGTAGAGAGCCTCCTGCAGGTAGAGGGACAGCAGGGCGCCCTGGAAGCCCAGCACCCCCCAGCGGGCCAGCTTGTCGCTGCAGGACAGGGACAGGGTGGGCTCCCCCCGGCCCGGCTTCACCCGGAGCAGCCCTGTACAGTGGTAGCCCTCCCCGGGGAGCAGAGGGTCAGCTGGACCCCCGGAGACACACTTGGCCCCTGTCCTGTGGACGTCAGCGACCTGTGGACACAGTCCTGGGCTGTCGGGGGGGCTTCTCCTCTCCACAGGTTCTTCTGCAGGCTGAGGTGGATCTTCACAGGACTTAGAGAGGGAGGACTGTCTTCTCTCTCCTCTGTCCTCCAGATGTGTCTCCGCTGTCTCCGGTTCCTCCAGATGTGTCTCCGCTGTCTCCGGTTCCTCCTGACGGGGACGCTTGATGCTTTTTACCTCACTTGATTCTTCATCTTTTCTTTTCGGATCTCCTCTTCCTCTCTCTTCTTCAGGGCTGTGTGCAGGTGTGACGGGGGGGCAGGGCTGAGACTGGCTGCCATTCATGGCGATGATGGCAGCGTCACCACCTGGAAATACACACAGTTTCACATCAATATATTCTAGACTTAGTTCTTAAATGTCCTACAAATAAAACAGCTACGTTATTATTGAAACCCATGCACCACTTTACAGGGGAAAGATATGCCGTACACCAGCACCTGAAGAACACATTTCCATTTCAATCAGGCTAGATATTTATTTATCAAATCAAATCTCCTCTCCTCTCCTCTCCTCTCCTCTCATCACAGCTGCTCAGGTTCAATTCATTCACATGGAGCGAGCAGGACTCACAGGGAGTGTGACTGGTGAAGAAGAGGAAGGACACTCCAGGATGAAGCCTCCACTTCCCCTGCTCCTCCGCCTGACAGAACACAGCGCTGCCCCCCCCACTCACGGCCCTGTGCAGCTCCTGGATCAGGTACCTACACACACACACACACACACACACACACACACACACACACACACACACACACACACACACACACTAAATGATGGCAGTCTATACTCGTTTGTATGTACGCATCAGCATGAAGCACCGAGGACCATTTGCAGCAGATACACACACCTGACACACCCCCTTCTTGCAATGACTTCTGCGTGGCTGTCATTAAGTATTTCACCTAAATAAAAGACAGAATCAAGGAAAACTCCATTTAAAGACTTGATAAAAGATTGTTTTCATTGTTCATCATGCTGTAATGAATGTCCCACATGAATGGATTTGTTTTATTCTAAGGACACATAAATGCAAGATTTCAGTGAAGATTTGAATCAATCCTCACTTTGGACTGCAACAGGGTAATTGTAAAAAGAAATATAAAGAACATATCCTGTGGTGACAACTTTATTTGTTTGTCCTGCCAAAATAAACTCTCTGTTCCTGCTAAACACATACAAAAGACACAAAGGTCACAGCAACAGGAGGACATACCAGAGGGACTCATGGCTGTCTGTCCGATACATTTGGTCCCCGTTCCCAGGGAAACAACCTCCTTCTCAACTGTTGGAGAAAAAAGACTTTGATGACATATTTAGTCCGTACACATGCTTCACATTCTTATATCCTTTTTAAAATATGTTCCCTAAATGATAGGCAAAACATATTGTTCATGTAGTCATGTTCCTGTGCAGTGTGTTCTGGATATAAAGGGACAATGATATTGCTTTGAGTACATTTATTACGTACATGCTTCGGCAGTGATGGAAAGTAATTACATTTATTTTCATTTTGTGCTAATTTATACTTCTACCCCAAAACATTTTGGAAAAATATTGTACTCCCCTACAATTATTTCACAACATATGTTACTAGTTACTTTTGCAGGTTTATAATATTAATAAAAATAAAGAGTAAATTAACTGATACACTTTGATGAACTGTTATGGATGGAGATATCTACAGTAGCAGTATAAACAGTTGTTAATGTTATCTCATCCTTCAGCTGCAACTTAAAATTACATTATGCATCACTTAAACCAATGATATAATATATATTATTCAGAAAATGGCCACTTTGGATAATTAGTATAATTAGATGCAAAGTACATTTTGCATCTAATCAGAGGTGGGAAGTCACTAAGTACTCAAGTACTGCACTAAAGCACAATGTTGAGGTGCTTCTACTTTACTTGAGTATTAACATTTTTTGCTACTTTGTACTTCTACCTCACTACAATTCATAGGTCAATTGTGTTTATTTTACATATTTTGAGTGCAGGTCAATGGTACCGGCTGGCTGTACAGCCGTCATGACGTCAGCAGTACGTCAACGTTCTCGCGTTGCTTTGGTGAAAGTCGATGGAAGGAAAAGGCTGGTTTCTCTCCGGTTACAGAGCAGGCTTGACATGAAGAGAACATGAAATATGGTTTTATGTTGTCCAACCTGTGTCAGAGTTAGCCCTCCGGGTGATTCTGAGCACCGCGGCCAGCAGGGTCCACTCTCTGCCCGGCTCAGGCTTCCCTCTCCGGGGAAGCTGCTGGAAACGCTCGTAGCACAACTTGGCGATTTCATCCGCGTCCACCATGTTAACCCGGGCCGGGGCGTGTGAGGGGGGGGCACACAGGCATTAGAGTTATAATGTATGTTTAAGTGAAATGTAATTTAAAAAGTCACGGTGGCACATGAACAATATCTAACAGTATTTGTACTAAGCTCGGCTGCTTGAAGGTATCTCGAGAAAACGCAGAGTTCACTTCCGGGCCGAGCCAGCGAATGATTTCAAAATAAAGGTCCTTCACTAATGGAGCCCTAACATCTAATTAAAGGAGCTATCAGCACGGTATTACTAGAAAACAGTAGAAGTGTCCATGTAGTACAGGAAGCAAAAACAATTACAGTAGGTGTTATATTATTTTAAGAGCAAAATATTATAGAAAACCTTGTACCATTATTGTATTACTGCTGCCTTGTGTGAAATAAATAAAGATCATTTTATTTACTATATGCATAATTAATATGAGGTTTTTAATGTACAATACCAAAATGTCCCAAAATACAGATGAATTTTGGATATGATGAATGGTAAAGAGCACACATGCACATATTTCAAATGTTGGAATAGAATGTGTTTTTTTTACACATTGCCTGCTTATTACCTGCAGCAAGAGCAGATCTGGATTGCCTCAGCAGCACCTCCTAACTCTGTGTGTGTGCTGTCTGGCTGCAGCTCAGCCTGAGAACACTGAGGCTCTTTGTGCTCCTGGATCATACTCTGTCTCACATCTCTTACGCAAAAGTAGAAACTGAATTTGCTCCAAACTGCCGTAATTTCTTCTGCGGACAAACTAAGTCGACACTGGCGGAAGATGTAGTTCCTAGTACACTCTCCATCTGTCAGAGGCAGCTTCTCTGTGCTCTCCAGGATGGGGGTGCATGGCTTTGAGCTGCTGACCACATGCAGGGAGAACTCCACCATTGAGCTGCAGATTTGAACTTTTTGAACTTCCTTCAATACTTCTAACCACTATCAGTCCTTTCCTTTCTCTAGGGACCTTTCAACCGTTTTTAAGGACAAGCGTAACCATTTCTGTGTGTCGCTCTCAACTTTGGAAGAAAATTACCTAATGGCATTTAATGAATAATAAAAATTGATAAGACAATAAAAAGATCCTTAATTTGTTCTCATCTTATTTAATGTTTTTTTATCAACAATTTGAACAGCAGAATTGTCAATCTCTAAGGGATGTTTCCAGCACCTTGTTGAGTCTATGCCACGAAGAATGAAGGCAGTTCTGAAGACAAAAGGGGTCCAACCCGGTACCAGCCAGCTGTAACTAATGAAGTGGCCAGTGAGTGTAGAGCTCATTTATCATGACAAAATGTCTCTCCAAAGAAAGTATGAACACAGCTCAAGATTGAAATCTGATTTATTTGAGTTATGTACAGAGGAAAAATGCTTAATTTCACAAGTAATAACAGAAAAATAGAAATAAAATCACAACTCTTCTCTGAAGCCTCTGGGACAGAGCAGCACTAGTTCATGATAACGGCTCTGTCTCGTGTACAGACACACACATGCACTCAATCACTGCCTCTCTTTCTCTCACTCTGTTGTCTCTCTCGTCTCATTAAAACGTTAAAAAAGGTAATTCTCTCTGGTAGATATGTTATACTGCATTAGCGGGGAGCTGCTGTGTTGTAGTGAGTCTCTGAATCTGTTTTTGGTGCGTTTCTAAGCAGTGAGTAGAGGTGAGTGTGATGGGTGAGACTAGTCAAATATAATTCTCTGTATGCACCCTCCTGTCAAACCCTCATACATTCACACCATTATATGCACACGCACACACACACACACACACACACAACCACACACACACACACACACACACACACACACACACTAACACACACCACACACACACACACACACACACACACACACACAACAACACACACACACACCACACACACACACACACAACACACACACACACACACACACACACACACACACACACACACACACACACACACACACACACACACACACACACACACACACACACACACACACACACACACACACACACACAACACACACACACACACACACACACACACACACACACACACACACACACACACACACACACACACACACACACCACACTGTTCCTGCGTCTCATCATTCATTTCACAAACATGCCCCCTGCCAGTGGGGGGTGACGATGATTTCTCAGCCCGGTGATTAACAAATGCAAAGTAATAATATTAATTAATGACAAAAAAAACGATCCCATTGAATGGACTGTCCTCCTTTAAATGTGTTTGTTTCCTGCGTCACTCCTGTCCAAAGCCCTCCGTCTCCTCGATGGCGAACAGGAGTTTCTCGCGGAGCTGCTCCAGGCTCCTGTAGGGCGGCAGGTCCAGACGGTTGAAGCTGAGGAGCAGACAGAGGTTTAGTCTTCATGTCCATACACGGTGATATCGGTGAAATACTGAATCTACAGTCAACTGCTCTTCAGATGAATGGTTCCACATTACAAGATGTGTCCCTGTCCACTTATTCTGTCCTAACTGTGGACGTCTCATCAAGTGACCTGATTCAGAAGGAGGGCCAAGAGACTTCCGAATTTAAGTGACTTTTTCATGAAATCAAACCAGTTTTTATACAATTTATAGACCCTTTTTATTTTATCATCTTTATTTTAATCCTGAAATTAACTCCTTATACATTTATTGTAATTGTTGGATACAGAGTTAAACATTTATATTATGCTCATTTTCAGGTGAATACTTCTGTGTGTTTTATAGAACAAGTTGAAATAGTGTTGGTTATTCAGAGGTAGCTCACAACCTGAAGGTAGTCCTGGCCCTTAAAGGCAGTTTCTCAATGTACACCGTGTGCATCTCTCTGTAGATGGAGCCTTTTGATACTTTAAGTATTTAAAAAAGCACCTAGACCTAAATGATTATTTAAGAAATGTAAATATGGGACCTTCCTTCACAAAAGGAATTCACAGGAATAGATGCAGCACATCATTGGAAAAAACAGAGATAATCTTAAAGCTGCCCGTTCATTGTATCGGAGTCTTCCTATTGTCTTCAAGAACATTTCCTAAAGGATAAACTCACCATGTGTGACTTCTTGGAAGCCAAGTCTCCTTCCCCACCTTGTCTATGCAGAACTTCTGGGGACCGTTACTTCCTGCACAAAGGAAAAAAGTGATTTCATTGAATTCAAGCTTGAATTTATTTTTATTATAATGGTCTTACAAAACAATTTCACTTGTTCTAATGCTTACCATACATTCTTATAAGGGAAATTATTATATAAAAGCCAGGATTCAAATAATATTTAAAGTTGTTGAATTTGCCTGTGGTCTAGTAAAACTGCTCAAACACTACATTTTAATATAACGAACTTCCATAGTACTAACTTCATCAGTACAACATGTTTTACCCCTAACAAGTCCTGTCTTTTTAACAGAGATACTTGTTTCATCCTCCTATTCATTCCAGTTTTTATGTTGCCCTGACTGAGGATGCCATTAATGAAACTTTGCATAGTATCAATAATTGAAAGGCTGGGATACGTAACATGTCAAACCTAACAGTGAGGGGAGTGGGGAGTGTGTGTGTACCTATGAGCTCAGTGAAGCCTCCGACAGGCAGTCTGCACGTTCCCGTCACAAACTGCAGCAGACGGATTCTCTTCTCGTTGTCCATCTCTTTCACCACCTGCAGAAACACACCTCCATCAATCACTGAACACACCATTCAACAACGTGTGTGTGTGTGTGTGTGTGTGTGTGTGTGTGTGTGTGTGTGTGTGTGTGTGTGTCCGTACCTGCCAGAACCAGTGGATCTGCTTGCTGTTCTTGGTGTAGTGTCTGTAGATGGTGTTCTTCTGCCAGTCGGCCATGTCTATCTCCTGCATCCCACACAGCATCAGCTGCAACAAACAACAGGACACTTCAATCACTGCGACTACCAGAGGTCAAATGCTGACTCATTTCCAGATGTTAGGACTCATTCCTGCACCACTCCATCAGGACAGTCAGTATAAAAGGAATGATAACTTTCCTCTCTTCCTCTCTCACCCCATCACTAATGCTGATGCTGCTTTTAGTTCATATAACCCCAGACTCTTGATAAGTAACCACGTAGAGTTCTTTTTTTACTAAATGACTTTTTTCTAGAAGCCTCTCCTAATTTGACCTCACTCAGTTTATTTGTGTGTCTATGTTTGCTATGTTCCAATGTCTGGCTTTTAGAAGCGGATTGTACTGCATCTGTTTGTATGACATATAGAAGATAAATAGTCCATTATCTTTCATTGAAGTGTATTTCATATGAGAGGCAATATGCTGAAAATCAACACATAAGTAATAATGACTTTAGATTTGAGTGTGTTCTAAATCCTTTCATTCATTACTCCTCTTCTGACTTTAAAAGGACTTTTTCCAGTAGTTTTTCATTTTCCATACGCTGGTGCTCCTCCTCACCTCCAGCTCCTTCTCGTCGAAGTAGCGCAGCCACTCCAGAGGAACCACTTCATTGAAGCCGTCCAGGAAGGCCTTGGTCTGCTCCTCCACCCCCCGGGTGAACCTCCAGTCTGTCAGCAGGCTGAGGGAGGAAGAGAAACGCCTTTTTAACGCTGAACTAATTGATGCTTTGCATGTCTGATCTGTGTGTTTGTGGCAGCGGCTGCCTCTGTTCACCCACCTGATGTACTCCTCCTTGTTCTCCTCCGTCACCAGCTCGTTCTCTCCGTCGTCTTTCAGCTGGTGGGTGGACACCTTCCCCAGGATCTCCATGTCCTGTGCAAAGTAAAGCTCCACTCCACACTCCTCCAGGTTGTTGTCTCTGGAAACACACACAGAGACAACTTACAGCAGTGTTTGCTTCAATTCCTGCAGGAAGTCAGCTGCTCCGCTTCCTCTGCTCTGTTCACTTCTCCAGGTTCAGGGATCTTTAGAAACATGCTTTTACACATGGAACAGAGAATGTGCTATTTTTAGACACCACAAATTCAAAATGACTTCAAAATGCTGGAGAGAATGCTGTGAACAGAAAGCAAACCATAGTCATGTATTTTGGTCATGTAAAGCTATGAGGAGCTTCTGAGAAACTATTCAGTATTTCTCTAAATAAGAACCTATTTTATTATTACTTGAAAAAACACCAGATGAAATCAAAAAGAAGAAATCTTATAAAACGTATCTTACTTGTAGATACTTACTTTATAAGAGCTGCAATTATTAAACAAATTACAAGGAACTGGTTATAAGATAATACATGAAAACATTCAGAATGGAAACATCTGGTAAATGAAATGTAAGGATAATAAATGAAGAAATGTTTTGACGATTAATGGGAAAAATGTTAAGTTACAGAACACAAAACGTGAATAATGATCCTGTGGTGGCTTTATGAATATAGGTATGAGTATTAATGATGTATTTGTTATTTGTAAGCTTTATCCTATACTTTAAAAACAAATCTATTTTTCTGATTTGTGGATTATTGAACTATTTCATGTATTTTAGTTTGAACTGTATCTTAATTTGTTACGTATGTCTGCAACCAAATCATTTCTTCAAATGATAAGAAAAAATACTTTGGTAAGAGTTTATATCATATACGTGATCCTCTCGATTTGTTTGTAAATATGAAGTGTCATTTCAGTTTTTCAACATTTGATTGACTGATTCTATATTGACCTTCATACCTGAGATCAGCTGTTTGTTTCAATTATAAACAAATAAAAGAAATGAGGACAAAAAAATATTCTTCCTGAATATTTTCCTCCACTTTCTACTTGCAAATCACACAGATGACTGCATTACTTACTTGACCCACATGATGGAGTTAAAGAACTCGGGGTCTATGGACTCCAGGTCTTTGAGCGTGGGCTTCTTGTCCAGCATGCGCTTGTAGAACGGCAGCGTGAAGCCGGTGTCGATGAACTTCCCGTGGTACAAAGCCTGGGGAGGATGAGAACATTAGAGACCTGAGAACATTAAGAGATGCAGTGCAACAGTGTTGGGGCCGTCAGCCTGAGGAGATGTATGGCAGCTTTGACTCCCTGGATCATAATCAAGTCGAAGAGTGGGGGGGAGTATTTGGCCACCTGTGTAATACTATAGTGTTATTGTATGGTGACATATGGTTTCAGATTTGTTCTCGACAAATGATAAAAGTGTTTCAGTTTGCTCAGGCCTGTGCTGATGACTCACTGGGGATTGTTTTGTGCCCATTCCAGTGTTTAAAAAGGTTTTAACAGCCATCACCTCACAGGAAAACAGGAATGGCTTTTTTATTTCTGGAATCATGGCAGCCTCGTATAACTCTGCTCAACCTCTCCGGTCCAAATCATTAAGCACACACACCACACACACACACACACACACACACATCACACTACACACACACACACACAGGCACACACACCCACACACACACACACACACACACACACCAACACACACCACACACACACACACAAACTCACACACACACACACACCACACACACCCACACACATCACACACACACACACACACACACACACACACACACACACACACACACACACACACACACACACACACACACACACACACACACACACACACACACACACATCACCACACACCACACACACACACACACAACACACACACACCACACACACCACACACACACACACACAAACACACACACACACACACACACACACACACACACACACACACACCACACACACACACACACACATCACACACACACACACACACCACACACACACACACACACACACACACACACACACACACGCCTGCAGCCTGAACACACTGCATTTGTGCCTGACACTGGAGCTGCCACCATATTTACATTTGACTGTTGATTCAGACTTATTCTATGTACCATCATTATTCCCATTGTGACAACATTTAGATCAAATTAGGATACAGAGACAAAACACTACGCTAGCTACAGCCCTTGTGTGCATTTAACACAAATACCAAGTGATCATTGTTGCTTGGTGTGTGTGTGTGTGTGTGTGTGTGTGCATTCTCAGCCAGACAGAGCTGTTCAATGCTAAAATCACACAAAGGACTCAGAGCTGCGATGAACCAACACACACGCACCTTCAGAAAGTAGAAAGGTCAAAAGGAGGCAGTGAGAGGGTTGTGTTGTTGACCAAGCATCTTTATAAGGGACGTCAGCAAAGTGAACTTTAGGACTAAATATAGTCAGCTGCTGTGGGTGTGGGCTGGGTGCGGCGGTGAGGTCATAGTGTGGGAGAGGGGTGGGGTGGCAGGCAGAAGGAGGGGTGGGGGTGCGGTGTTTGGGACCTACAGCTTTCTGGAGTTGATCCCAGAAAGAGACATAATAGTACAAACAGTACATACTGTAAACATGTGTTTTAGGGACAGGATTTTCTGTTCTTCACAAGAAATAAGTCAATACGAAGCTGTAAACCTACTAATTGTTCTCTATTATTAAATAAAATATAAACTGGTTACCTGCAACTCTGTATAAACATTATTTTTGTGGAGACCTAAACATAGAACTGAATTGAATAGATTGGCCCCTGATCCGTCTTATTGAGTCAGTATGGGAGCGCTGCATCCCGACTGCAGAGCCACTGTAACAGTCCAGCTTTACAGAACTTGAACATCCCTGAAAGCAAATCCAATCCCAGGTATGACAGGAATTCAAGTCTTCTTAAGTGAAGCTCACCATGGCGATGAAGCGTCCGATGAAGCGGAAGTACGTGAGGTGGTCGGGGTTGATGGAGGAGGCGGGGTTGATCTGCAGACAGTAGTTGTTCTTGCCGGCGTATTCAAACAGACAGTACATGGGGTTCAGCACCTCGTGGGACAGCAGGAAGAACCACTCCCTGCAGAGACACCAGAGGACAGGTGAGACCTCAGAGGGCAACATGTCAGGAAGTCATGCACACATTTCATCATTTTCCTTTTTAATATATAAGGGCATACTGTTGGGTGATTTTGTCATTTTAAATGATGAAGTGTGACAGTTCATTTTCTTCAAAGATGCATTAAAGTTTCATCACTATGAGCTGAGATCGGTGAAAAAAGAAGACCCAATTCAAAGTGATTTTTTTTTAACAAGAAACAACAACAGAAATAAACGTGACAAACAGATGATGGAGACAGACATCTGGCAAAACATTTAAACCAAAGACAAAACATAATCCACAAACACAGTTTAGAGATAATAACAAACAACTTCACTCACAATCTAACTCAGTAACTCTAACTCCTCCAAAGAAATTACACATTGTATTTGGAATTTGTATTAATTATAATAAAAAAAAAAATAAAAGTAATTGTAGCCGCTGAGATCTGACTGGCAGCTTCTCCTTGATATTACCAGCTATTTCCCAGCTAAAGGAGCTTTACATGTTGCCTTCATTATTACCAGGTTGCTTTGACATCATATTACAGGAGGAGTTGAGTTAAGTCCACTCATGTTTGAACACCACACAAGATTTCTTTCAGCATTGCCATCACTTAATATGGTATTTTAAATTAACCATGGTTTTATGTGATGAGCTGGTGCCAGTAAAGCGTCAAAACTTATCTCATACCGAGTAAAATAGTTCTTCATTTGTGAAATGATTTTATTTTATATTTTCATATATTCAATATTAAGCATTTATAGATATTCAATAAAGCTAGTTTTGATGTGACTTCCCAAGAAAGATTCCAAATCCTGTAATAATAAATCCTGAATTACATTTGGTACATTTGGTTCTTGAACTTCAGTTTTGGTTGATTTGAACAAACCATATGTAATGTTAATGAATAGGATCCAGACTTTATTTAGGAGTATAAAAGGTACTACTTCCATTAAGAGTCAGGACACACAGAGTGGATCCTAACGTGGAACCCTTTGGAAAAATAATAAGCGTAGAGTAAATAAGCAAAATGTAGAATTATAACTCAAAGTAGTATAAAGCTGTTTCCTAATCTAGAGGTTTTTTATTTTAGTCTTCTTTGGACCAGCTATCAAGAAATTAGATTTCTTTTCTTTTCTTTGGATAGTGGCATTTATTTGAATATAAACCACATTTGCACACATCCTATCCTCATGAACTCAGAGACAAACACACAACATGAAGGATAAATACAGAGTCAAACAGACACAATGAGACAGTGGAGTACTGCATGTTAGACAGAATGAAGCAGCACCACCACCAGCTGCAGCACCACAACCAAACGCTCCCAACGCCCCGGACCCCCTGGGGGGTTATGGGAGGGGGATATGGACGGACGGACGGACGCAGACACCTCGCAACATCCCGTCCGTGGTTCTACCCTGTGGTAGAACAGCATGATGTCACCTACCATAGGGTAAAACCACTGACGTGACACTGGAGACAGAGACACAATGCAAAACCAAACAGAAACAATGAGGAAGACCACAGACAGAAAAAATAACAACATACACAGAAAGGAGGTACACCTGGCACAGCAGGGGGGGGGGGGTGGATACATGGGATGGGTGGGTAAAGCAAGGAGGACAGAGATGTTGCAAGAGTGTGGAGAATGTTAATCCAACACACAGAAATGCCTGACACCATTCAGGTGAAGAGTTGTGTATCAATTGGACAACAGTACGTTTTAAAAGCAGAAATCTCAACACCACGTAATGCCCGATGCCTCTTTAAGATCTTTAATAGTTTCCTGTCTGAAACTGAGATGCAGTGTAGGAGGAAGCTGGGGCAGAGATGAAGAGTGATGAAAGAGCAGGAGAAACACACCCTCACCATCACAAAAAACTAAAGGGTTCAATCACAAGCTGTAGCACCTCACACCAGTTCATAGGGGAAGAAGAAGGTGCGTTTGTTTTGTGGTGGCTCTCACCTGGCGATGCCGCCGTAGTCCAGCCCCTCCTCTCCTCTCATGATGATGTAGAGTCTGCGGCGAAGGTCGTATGGCTTCACATTCATGATCTAATGACAGAACAACATTTATCATTAACAAACACACAAAACGTTTTAACAGGCAACATTTGAGGACATTCATTCAACATATTTCAATTTGTTGGGTTGGTCTCTGACCTGCTGAAAGGAGTCCTCAAACAGAGTCTGTCTGGACACTGAGATCTTCACATGGCTGGGCAAGGCATTGGACTGGAGAGAGACAAAAAATAACTCCATATCATTTGTGAAACAGTTCTCAGTCAGTAAGACCTTACGACACATTCGAAGACATTAACAGCTGCTGGTTGACTTAACCCCCATCTCTAACTTTAACTTTATTACATTTTTACCATTACATCTTTGCTAACAACACCCTTACTATACTGAACAGGGGCGAGTACTTCAAGCGGGTATATTCAGTACACATACTGGCTTTTTCTATAGTAGATGGTAAATATATGCAGCTCAATATTATTAGATACATATCAAATTGATGCTGCTTTTTCCCTCTATGGCATCTAGCCAGGCAGACTTTGTTCTATTTGTTCAGCACTGAGTTTTCTGCCTCCAGCCAACACAATGGAGGTGAATGGAGGTTTGTTTATGGCACACAGAGCACTGAAAAATAATATGTTTTTGGACCGATAAAAACTCCACTTATAATGTGTTTTGTGTATTATAATAAGTGTTCATAACAGTGTTTCAAAAAGGGATACACAACGACTTCCATTCACTTCCACTTTATGGAGGGGAGGAAAAAATCTTTGATATAACTAAATCTGGTGAAAATACAGACAAAACTATCTTCATGGCTAGATACCACTCTATTTCAGTGTGAACATTTTCTTTATTAAAAAAGAACATTTAAACAATTGAAATGTTATTTTAATTGAAAACGCAGTGATACACACAACACAGAGATAAAGGAGAGGTGCAGGCAGAGTCTAGTTGTGGCGTCAGACTCCATTTCACACTTACATGGCACAGGAAGCGGAACTGGTGGTACTTCCACCTGAAGCTGCGGTCGTAAGCTCCCGGTGAGCCGCCCTGCCGTGACCTGCACACACACACAAGGAGAGAAGGAAGAGAGGTATTTGGTCAATTCTAAACTGCTCGAGCAAATTCCCTTAGGGAATCATGATAAAAACGACAGTGTTAATAAAGTGACTCAAACACGTCACGTTTCTGTTGATCAGAAACATGGAGCTCTCCTTTAAGAAGGCCTCATGTCCCGTGTTGCTGGTCAGTGCCTATTCTGTTCTCACACTTGCTGTGCCTGAGTCTCAAAGACAGAGTGAGTCTGGGCCTGCAGCTGTGTTAGTATAAGCTCAACACACTGCACACACACAGGATATGTGCTGAGTCAGCAGCGAGGCTGAGACGCAGGGAGAGAAAGATAATGGGAGGATGGGAAGAGAGAGTGAAATGAGGGGAGAGAAGAAGACGGCGGCCTGTAATGTGTCTGGTTTATTCTGGCCTAGCTGCCAGGCTCTTCCCGGTCTGGTGAGGAAATGGAGACCGCAGCGGCACACACACTGCTGCAGTAGAAAACACTCAGGAGCCCTGCATGACCACCGTGATAAAAATATGTTCAAATATCAGCAGGAAAACGGCTTCTAGCTCACACACACACACACCACAAGCTAATACACACTTGAGTGCCAAAAGAACACACACACACACACACACACACACACACACACACACACACACACACACACACACACACACACACACACACACACACACACACACCACACACACACACACACACACACACACACACACACACACACACACACACACACACACACACACACACACACACACACACACACACACACACACACACACACACACACACAATCAGTTGATGCACATCTGCACATTCTCCTGACTTTGCGGTGGGATTCGAGACTTCTTCAAGCTAGGCAAACATCCACAGGCTGAGGGGAAGAGGTGTGTGTGTGTGTGTGTGTGTGTGTGTGTGTGTGTGTGTGTGGTGTGTGTGTGTGTGTGTGTGTGTGTGTGTGTGTGTGTGTGTGTGTGTGTGTGTGTGTGTGTGTGTGTGTGAGAGAGAGAGCTACTAGCATGAACATGTTGAACATATGACTTCATGTTAAAATACCTGTGAGGCTTACGTTTATTCTGTCTGGCTCAAATGAATATTGAAAAATAGAAATGAAAGGCAATGGAGTAAACACGGGCTCAATAAAAAGGCAGGTCAAATCAAAAGATGATGTGGTTTAGATTAAGACAGTTTTGACCTTTTTCAAGGTTTCTAGATCAATATTGGCATTGCAGTTATGTCCGACTAAGGCAAATCATTGTGCAATTATAAAACTAACTGGCTAACATTTTTTTATTAGTTCTTATTGATTCAAGAACTGAAGGACAGACATGTCTTTGCCTCGGCCTGTGACATAATTTGATTTAGAAAAAAGCAGCTTTGGGAGGAGGAAGTAGGGCTGAGAGAATATTTACCCTGACTCAAACCCGGGTCGGGGGTCTTTAAAGCTGGTGTTGCGCGAGTTGTGGTCCACAAAATATCTGACTCCCTCGGCGGTGTACTTCATCTCCCAGCCCGGGGGCAGGGGGTGCTCCTTGATCATCCTGCAACAGGGAGAGGGCAGTGAGCACGGTCCCAGCCACAGGGCCCCGTCCTGGGGATGAAACTAACACCCCTCCCCTCCAACCTGTGGATCTACAGCCCTGGAACTAAATCACAGCCGTGCCCGGGGGGAGATAGTCTCCTCTGAGGGAAGTTTGACTGATTCAGACGGCTTCTAAACTCTGGAGATGAACTCAGAATAAAGTCCAGAGAGGCCCATATTAAATGTTATCCTATTATAAACACAAGAGTGTGTGGCCAATAATTCCTGTTCCACCCTAGCTGCAGTTTTTGCCTCTAATGAATTACATTTCACAGAGCTAACCAGATACCCAGTGACACTTATTAAATCAGTTCTGATGATAAAAAAATGCGTCCAATTAGAAGAAATTCAGGCTGCAAATTAAAAATAATAATAATATTTTTTTACCAGATTAAAAAGGTATTACAGGTTAGAATTTGTATTTTTTCCCGCCTTTTAATGACTTTGATGATTTTTGATGTAATTAATTGTCTGTTTACAATGCGTTTCTGTTGAACTAAATGTTACTTTTTTTGTTTGTGTAAAGCACTTGTATTGCCATGCGTTGAAACGTGCTATTTTGTAAACAGGCCTTGCCTACAGATGGTAAGAAAAGTTTGGGTATTCTGTAAATCCCTTCAGAGCAGCAGTAAATGGGTTTGTGAGAGACTGCTTAGTGTAATGTAACGAATGAGAGGCACAAACAGAGGCCACTAACAGCTTTTACAGAAACACTTCTACAGAAGAAGATGCCCTGAAGAAGATGTGTGAAATGTACTAACCAAGAAGTTCAATGAGAATGAGTGAGGTGAGGGAAAGCATTCAGCTCAGGCAGCGTTTAAAAGTAAAGGAAGTAGAGGGTGATGCCAGAAAAATTATCAAATAAACTAATTGTAGGATAAGAGCCTAAAAAGTTTCCAAATCTTTCTAATTTTCTTTTAATGCTTTGAACAGTCCATCATTAATTATAAAGTTTGTCATGCTCAAGTCCTTATTTTTTTATTTGAATGGACTGCTCCAGAGATTTTGTCAAATTCCTTCAATTATTTCCAAGTGAGAAACACCTCACAATGTAAAGGACCCCTCTGTCATCATACTGCCCGTGTATGAGACATTTATATTTTTCAGTACGAGCAAACACCAGAAGCAGCGTACCCTCTAACAAGCAGGCAAACACATGCAGACACACACACGCCATCACACACACACATTAATTATTTTTCTAATTCTCACCCTTGGGTCCGGGGGTCGTCCCACTGTGTGGTCCGTGTGTTGTGGTTGACAAAGTAAATTCTGCCATTGTCCTGACGCTTCTCTGTGGACACAAACAGAACATGCGGAAACAATTAGCGTAATGGGATTTGTGATGTTAGGAGGAAAAGTTGGAGGATAGTGAAAGAACTCGGGAGAATCTAAAAGATCAGAGGGCCTGAGCGTCTCTGTCGCTGAACTACTCTGCTCACTTTCTTTTTTCTGATTAAGAGAAAAAAATATCTCACCACCATGATAGAAAACCTGCAGGTCTGTGTGATATTTTGCCGAGACTTGATTTAAATACCTCACCGGGGTAAGAGTGTGTGTGTGTGTGTGTGTGTGTGTGTGTGTGTGTGTGTGTGTGTGTGTGTGTGTGTGGCAACAAGGTCGTGGTGGGGGTGTTTGGAAGTCAAGATGTAGGGAGGCAAATTATGGAAGTGTGTGTGTGTGTGTGTGTGTGTGTGTGTGTGTGTGTGTGTGTGTGTGTGTGTGTATGGTAGGCCGCTGGTCTCATGAGAGAGCAGTTGGTGCCCCATCCTCCCCCCTCCCCCCTCCCCCCCCTCACATCTTTGTCTCATTAACAGCAGTGTGTGGAGGGCCCAGAAACAGTAGTGCTCACATTGCAACTCTTACTTACTCCTCCACCCACTCCACCCCCACTATACTATCCAGTTTGAACCCCCATCCCCCATTTTTTGGTTTCTTTCATTCACCACTATATATGTTGCTTCTCCTCCATCTTTCCCTCTTCTCTCTTCTCCTTCTCTTTTTGAATCTGAGCCTTAAAAAAAAGCGAGGGAAGCAACCGCAGATGAAAAGAGCGCCAGAGGAGCCGATCTGAGCCAGAGAGATAATTGAGGTTTTCGTCTCGACGTACCGCAACATGTTGAAAAGGCATCATGGGCAGAGAGTGAGGCTTTTCGGAGTGAACATGAAGTCTAAGGAAATGCTGATGGGGGTTGCCAACTGCGTTTCTTTATGAATGAATGATTGTGTGTGTGTGTATGATCTACATGGATCCCATTACATTACTCATTTGGGGTAATGTTGGAAGATGAAGAGTCCCATCAATAACACAGTCTCTGTCATCTGTGACTTAAGGGCAGAGGTAGTGTATAGGGATGAAGTGGCATAACATGAGCAGAGGGTTGAAAAGGAACCAATAGGCATTAAATCCAGTACTCCAACAATGTAATGAACACTGGGGACTACAATAAATAAGGCAAATAATAAAAGCCACAGAAAAGAATTGTTTCTGATGTCGATGTGTGATGTGATCAAATATGTGCTCAGAGTGTGTGGATAAGAGAAAATGCTGAAAACATTTTACACCAATACTCCCAAACCTCACTTCCTTACAGCTGTGTGCAGAAACATAAAGCCCAGCTTGAAGAGCATTAGGTTTTTTATGATAAATGGCATTGCTTCACTGTTGACTACTGGCACGAGTAATTCAAATTCCCAACAGAATACTGGCCAGCATTTCAGGTTTTGATTTAAAAAAGGTAGGAATCCTGACTGACCACATGTACTTCAACACCTCCAGCAGGAATACAATCTGAATACAGTAGTGAACCTTCTGATAACAGGTCAGAAATCCTCAAAGAAGGTGAAATTTGTCCGGAGCTTGTGTTCGGCAAACTTACCCCATCCAGGAGGCAGCCCGCCCAGAGGGTCATTTTCCACCGGAGCACCGGATGGCTGAGGGAGAAACAGAGAGAGACAAAACAAATCCGATTAGGACACCTTTCTGTCTCCATCCACTGTTCTTCACTCCGTGCTGCTTTTTCTCTCAAAGCTTGTCCTCGTTGTACATTGTGTGTCCACTGTTTCTCAAAGTCGCATGAGGAGGAGAAAAACAACCCAAAAAGTAACGCAAGAAGGGAACCGGAATGTTCAGACGAGTAAGAAAAATAAGAAATAAAAAAAACTCACTCAGTAAAGTTTTCCCACATTTGGACAATCAAGTCAAGCCTTGACTCCGCAAACTCACAAAACCAGGGATGATTCCTGTGGGTAAGTGAGGCAGGTTGGTGTGTGTGTGTGAAGGTGTTAAGGGTGGGGGGGCTCCTCTCTGCTGAGGCGGTCAGGGGCAACTGAGGGAGCTGTCCGCCGGCGGCTCGTATGCCTTCCAAAAACTACACGCTCGGTAGGAGGATAAAACAACAACGCTGTTCCAATGAGCTCACTTGCTGGATGCAAGCCCCGCCCCCCGGCTTCCCGCTCACCTCCTCAAACACACCCCACCTCTTCCTCCACCCTGGGACCCCTCCCTACTCCACCCTGAGGTCCTCCTCCTCCTCTCGCTCTCTTCTAGCGCTGCTGTGAAAGTAGGCAGGAAAGTGCGATGTCTGAGGGAACTGAGGAAACATTCATGCTTGTTCCAGACTGGACACCTCCCCCCCCGCCTCCTCACCGGTCGCCCCAACCCACCCCAGGCCTGACAAAAGGCACCTTTATTCACCCTGGGCCTGGAAACAACTGTGGGGTTTACTCAGCCTGCACTCATATACACACACGCACAGTGAAAAAAAAGTGTGTGTGCCCTGGTGTGGAAAGTTTGTCCGTGGCAAACAGTCCGTCAATGTGTACGTTCTTATGTTGGAATACAAACACATACACTCGCATGAATATATTAGCTTGAATGGAAAAGTAGCTGAAAAGGCGCTTGTTGGGAATTAGTGGCTGCTGATGGGTTTCCATGCTACGCCATGTTTATCAAAGGTGTAGGTGTGTTGCAAAAACCTGCAACACCATTAACTGGATCAGCAGGCGGAGCACAAGACCCTCTATGACAACATGTAACACTGGCTCCTGTTAGCGGCCCTGTACATAAAAAGGTGGGGAGTTCTATTTGGTGATTGTAAAAAGACAAATATAAAAAAACAAAAACATTACACATTGAGAACATCATAAAAAAAAGTGGAAAAGATTCAGTTTCTTCTCCTTCTCTTAGATTACTGGTAATGGCAGCACAGTTAGCGCTTCTTGTCCTTTATTAGCTACACTAAAATATAAAAAACATTTTCCAAATGAAAGCTGGTGGCGCTTCAAAGTTTTTTTTTTACTGAGGCTGGTTGCACCACAAAAGTGATGATTGTTTCCTGAGAAGACAAAGTTCACGATTATCCACCATATGTCAACGTAACTTTACGAAGCACACAGAAATGTGACTGTGCCCATTTAAAGTGGATCTGTCATGGAAACTGTGAGGGAGCGGGATGGAAAGGATGGGGCCTGCTGGAGGGGCCAGAGTGGGCACACAGGGTTAAAGGGTGTGTGTTTGTGTGTGTGTGTCGCTCCCATCGACAGCCAATCTATGCGTCTGCACCCCACCCATATGGGTTTTCTGTGACTAAAAAAGGTAAAAGGAGAATATAATGATATAAAGACAAGATGACTTCATCCTGGCTCTGACCATTCAGCTCCTCAGCAGCTTCCAGACAGAGGGAGGTTGGGGGGGAGGAAAGAAAGAGAGACTGAGAAAACAAGGGAGGGAAAGGAAGAGAGGGAAAGCAGCATGTTGGCAGAAACGTGTGAAATAATGGCAGGGTGTTATGGATATGGAAGTAAAACGCCATAAAGGAGCATTTCAAGGCCAGGTTCCACAGCTGACAAAGGCAGCTTAAGCTCGTCGCTATTCTCATGTTTTAACACTTTTACCACCAATGCGGCTTCAGAAGAATAAGTAAAACAAATTGAAGTTTGTGTAAAATCTGAAGCCACATTGCTGTTGCATAGACGACTTGTCACTTGTTCTCAAAGAGGAGGCACATCTCTGTACACAGGGAGAGGAAGGGGATAACAGGATCACACAGACTAGAGGTCTGACGTCAAATCGGCAGCGGACCCACAGAAAGTTGCTATCAGAAACAATGCCTGACGTGTTTTGGACGTAATCTCGTCTTTGTTTACATTAGCAAGCCTCGCTAACACTCAGAGCTAACCTGTACTGGAGAGCACATGTGTTTAAAAAGCAGGAAATAAAAAAAGGAACTCAACTTGTGGTAAACCTGCAAGAGAAAAAGCATTTGAGCTCCATACTGTTTCAGAAATAATCCTTGATGTGGTTTAGAACAGGATGGCGTTTTATCACAGCAGAATTTAACTTTATCTCCGGTAGAATTCTGATCAGGCATTAGCTCCGCCTCCTCTTTTTTTTTTTTTTTTCAAGCTAAGGACCCAAAATCCGTGTTTCTCTAACAGGACTGGAATAGAGGGGTGTGAGCAGTATGAGGCATGGCTACAATGGGTGAACTGTTTGGTATTTTAAGCAAAAAACTTCACAGACATGTTTTGTATAGGTATGGCCCTACAATATATTTGTCCAATATAGCATAATAGGTCCACTTTAAAGGTTGACCTAAGAGTTTTATGATGATCTCTGGTTATTAGGTCTTGTTATAACCTATTATTTTATTAAACGTTAATTTGCTGGTTTTGCTGAAAGGGGCCCTATCATGCTCATTTTCAGGTTCATATTAGTATTAAGTGCCTCTACTGTTACATGTCTCCTTGCTTTAATGTTCAAAAAGCTCAGTCTGCTCTGATTTGTCAGCTCGCCGGCTCTGTTGTGATTGGTCAAATGTGTTGCGCTAGCCAATAGAAGCGGCAGTGTTACAATGTGATATCACTATGTTCCTGAAGTAAACACATTCCCTCTGGAGGGAACACAAGGATTTTAGTCTTTGCAAACCATTTACATGCACAACAACCTATATAAGACTACAGGAACGGAAAACACGAAAAAGCAGAATAGACTAACAGAATACAATTTTAAAATGAGTTTTGGCCAATAGTAAATTGGTCCAATCAACCAAAGTATACTCAGTGTACCACAAAAGACAAATAACAACTGGGAGGGAGTGCCAGCAAGTGATATAAGTTAGTCTTGGTAGTTTTCCTGCTGATTTGCTCCCTTTCCAGTCAGCAGCGGGTGTGACAGCGCATGGAGGATATCACACTCCTTCAAAACTCTTAATGCCTTATTGCTACATTTGCTTCATGATTCATGCTCTTTCTATGAGTCATAAGTCAGTCAGACATAAATAGACATGATACACGTACTTTTTTACAGTTAGTGTGATTTTCCAAGGACAGCATTATATGAAGTCTACCACAGATAAATCAAGACATTTCAGGACAATCATTATATTTTTTAAGATCTAAAAGTAATACACTAATAGTTGTCTGCACCTCCATGGATTATGTTGCAAATATGAACAGGTAAAAGCTAATTTGGCATGCTTTTACTGGGGGAATATGTGTCAAAATGTCAACAAATATAGGCTTAAAATGTGTCTGAGATGAGACCCACAGTGTCCATCTCTTAATGAACACATAACCACTCTTTTGTCTATTGGTAAAGTTTGGAAAATATCAGAATGGTGCTTTGATACATGGGAAAATAAAACAAGGTATTTCAAAAATAAGATACAATGTGTGGTTGTTCAATAAAACCACCAGAGAGTAAACCTCACTTAAACAGTCGAATGAAAGGACTTGTTTCTTTCTTTTATTCATAACATGTTAACAAAACCAAATAGTTGAAATCCCTCCTGTTCATGGTCCTTTCAGAGATCATAAACAACCTATGGAAACATGAGAACTGACGGCTTGTGTGTAAACATAAGTGAACGTGACATTCAGCCACTGTGATAAAACACAGGGCTGATTCAGGTGCTGCTGTTAGGGCTCCTTGTTCCAGCCAGGATGGACAGAAAGTCATAGAGGAGAGTGGAGGGAGTACATGAGGGAGAATTCAGAGGGGAGTGAGAGGAGGGAGTAAAAAGATAGAAGCAACAAGTTAAGGTGAAAGTAGAAAAAGAAAGGTTTAAGAAATTAGCTGAGTTTAAAATCAATACATTTCTCCACAATGCGGAAAAGGGTGATTTTGAGATTTGGGGGATTTTGGAGATTTGACAGAATGATTGGAGGGGGGTGGGGTTAAGGGGAGGGATAGAGGTTAAAAGAAAGAAAGACCGGTAAAGGTGAAGAGAAGGGGGGGAAGGGAGACGGGCGAGCCGGAAACAGAAGTTAATGACCCTGAGGCTGCGCTCTCTGGGGTTCCTAACGAGCTGCAATTAAAACACACACACACACACACACACACACACACACACACACACACACACCACACACAACACACACACACACACACACACACACACACACACACACACACACACACACACACACACTACACACACACACACACACACACACACACACACACACACACACACCACACACACACACACACACACACACACACACACACACACACACACACACACACACACACACACACACACACACACACACACACACACACACACACACACACACACACTTTTGTGGTTGTGTTTATGAGTTTTCAGAGGCCCAACTTTACACAATGTGTGTATAATTGTGGGTGTGTTTGGGCACGCAGACACCCGTTACATGGTGGATGGATAGCAGCCCCCGGACCCTCTTTGGTTGTCATGTGCCACAGAAAAGAAATGTGGCACCTGACCTCGACATTACAGCCCTGTGAACACGTCTGCTCAAACACACACTCTGAGAGGAGGAGCATGTGATTTACACACATCAGCTTCCACATTAACACACACACACACACACACACACACACACACACACACACACACACACACACACACACACACACACACACACACACACACACACACACACACACA